AAGTATTACTCGTTTTATAGCGTGGTACACAATTTATATTGTGCGCTAGCGATTGCCGTATTTCTGGTAACTCTACATGAAGAACCTTAAATAGTGTGATTTTACAATGCCGCAGTTTGGCTATGTCACAAAAAGATCGGTCTGGATACGATCGGTCCCGGCTTTAATATCGATTGCAGACAAACAATAAAACTTATAGAATTAAATAGGTTAAAAGGCTTAGATCACAAGTAAGATCTTCACGTAAGATCAAATGTGTTGCTTTGTCACTTACACGTCTGCCAAAATCTGCTTCGCGCGGCCACACCGTAGACACGCTTAAAACTCGTGCAGTAAGTGGGATTAGAGTTTAATGTGAGTACAAGGATAATTCTATAATGAGGCACGATGTAATCTAGACATTCCTTAGAACAGGCAAACGCCTTTATGTATAAAGAATGAAAAAAATATTTATGCCTTTTGTATCTCAGCCTTGGCTAACCTAAATTTATAATAACCTGAATCAACAGCTATCTAGAGCACCTTCTTCTACCACTTCCGCTTGAGCTGGTACTTTATACCTTCAATTGTGCAAGATGTAGTCAATAATCACATACAGCTCATAGATCAATTGAGACTCTTACCACTCGCCATCCACATCAAGACCATGACCGCATAGATCATAGCCTTGCGTAAATATGACACGCCATTCTTGTACTTGATTAGATTCAAGGTACGCACGAGTGTAGCAACCAGTTTTAAAAAAATATTGGTAGGGTTGGACAACTTGCCGGACGATCGGACCAGACCACCAAGCACCTAGCTCAATCATTAAAAGTTTTTCCAACTACCACTTCTCTGTCCACCTGCTTTATCTTCTTCATGATCCATGAGTCCCAAGTCTGGCACGAATGAGTTAAATACTTGGGGAGATCATAAATAACTTATTTGAGCTTGTGAACCGTAGATTTTAGAATTAGACTATCACTGTGGCCGCTACAGATGTACATGCATAGCACCCCTGATGACCACCGCTATCTGGGTCGATAGAACGACTCTCTTTAAGGTACCGGGCCAAATTTGCTTGTCCAATCAGCCTTTAGGCCGGTCCGATAGGCCACGCATTAAACATCCTCTGGTATGCCACAAATCGGATACTTTCGAAATTTGCTTAAAATAATCATAAACGCTGGCTCAAGTCCTGCACATTTCCCGCCACGAATTATATCCACCGTAGTCATTATAACACCACTTATAACAACATTAGCATATTTCACGTTTTCGCCGCCGCAAAAATCCAGAGTCTTACCATTATTAACAAATACGATGAAATGGGTTTCGCCAACACTTTCAACAAAACCCTCATCTATTTTTTCACTTTTAAAATCATTTGCAACTTGACCTAGATGGTAGAGGACTCTTTTCAATTATAAGCTGAGTGGCTGGGATTGTCGTAAGTCTGCCAGTCTGGGTGCGAATGACGGTATTTTAATACTCTTGAAAAGACTTAACCATCTTAGTATGATGCGCTCGTCGAGCGTATCCCCATTAAGCAGATCAAGAAAGACTGACTGAAATTCGCCTCGTGACGCACTCAAAACTTTCTGAGCACGGTTCGCGACACCATTGGACTAGACTTCAACCTAGCTTTGCAAAGTCGGTCAAACTCGACCACCAACCTCGCATATCGCCAGATGACCGAGATCTGGCGTTTACGACCCCGACCATCCATTGCCTTCTTCTCCAAGAGACGGCGAGGGCCACATTGACACACGCTTATAATTCTTGGTTGTACCACTTTTGCGGCGCTTCTTCGACAAACTGGCGGTTATCGTGTCTCTATTCTTCCACCAACGAGATGCCTTCTTTAAGTTTGCCTTTTAGTTCGCCTCTAAATTGATCTGGGACATTTCAGATCGTGCGCGACGCAATCTTGACCTCCTCGTTCTGTTTAACGTCAGCAGTCATCCATTGAACGATGCGGTGTAGGTCAGACAGAGTACTGACTCTCTGTAGACGCTTCTTTCCAGTCAACTCGGACTCATCGGTTACAGCCAACTCGGCACCTAGTGAAGACTGCGTGATAGTGTTGTCGTCATCGTCGTCATCGCTTTAAGCAGATGAAACCGAAATGCCGACCGAGGGTTCTGTCGATGCAATTTGTTGAAGGGCTTGCACGCGGAAGAGCTCTGATTTCGAGTTCACTTGCCGGGTTGGCATGACTCCGTAGCCGTCAGCTTGAAATGAGCAAAAGTTTTGGTCAGTCCACATCAATGTGCGTGCTTACACAAATTAGAATTCCCTCAAATTTAGTGTGGCCCACGTTTATAATGGTTTTCATCAAAATCTCGAGATTTGAAAATAGTGTGGGCCACACTAAATATCGTAAACTATGTAGTAAGTGCTAGTGCGCACTAGTCCAGTCGGCATTTGTATAGGCAAAGAGAATAAATTCAAGTAGAATTGCACCAGAGGTTCGGTAAATCGTTCTTATAGTATTCCTAACCGATTGTGCGTATCGAGCAACATACTGATATTATCGACGTCTTAAAGATATGAAGATGAGAAAAATTAGACGGTAGATGACCCTGCTTCGTAACGCCGTTGACAACAAAGTATAACTGACGACATCTTGATGATTAATGAAAATAAGAGAAATCAAATCGAGGAAGATTCCTCTGCTACCGTGAGGGAACATGATTATAACCTCGACTTTTTGAGTATATCAAGTACTTCGACTGAAAAGCAGTTCATATATACTGTAACGGGGTCACACTTGCCATCGACTAAATCAGTTGAAGACATCCCATATGTGATGTGGGAGACAAGTGTGGCCTTAGATTTACATCAATTGAGAATACGGATTAGTCGGTATTCTCTGAGTTACGGTAATGATCGTGGAAGTACTTTGTACCGTCATTATGTGATGACTGAGTGGTGTGTTAACCTTCCATTTAGTTCGAATACTGAAACTAGTATTAATTTTAGTTTAGTCTATTAAAGGATACTTAAGGTAGGATTTTCCTTGATATGAAAACTAAATAAATTCATTTTTAATTTTGAGCGGAACTCCGTAGACCCCCCCCTCCGCACGTTGCGCTTGACATTTCCTTAGAACTGTCGTGAGTTAGAAAGTCCTAAGACTCCTGTATTCCCCTTGCACATTGTGCGTGTAGTTCCTAAGAACTACAGTAGTATTGATATATATATATATATATATTTATGACGCTCTACTACACATTGTATTATGTGCTAGAAGTCTGAAACCGTCTAAGCCAGGAATACAGCACCGGACGCGGCGATGATTCGTGGCACCGTACTAGAGGGAGTGGCACAGCACTCGGCTCTAGGGTAAAAAGATCAAGACAGGCATGCAACTGAGCCCCTTGAACCGCTGTTTCTGCTCCTCTATGTTCACGCATAGCCACGGCGGTTAAATGACGTATACCCGTAGTCCAGAAGCGAACCACACTGGCAGACGTCGTGGACTTCGCGCTGCGAAAATCGGCATTGTTGCACTCACACCATAGGTGCACCATGCAAATAGAGCACATCAGAAACCATATCCATCGCCACATCTTGTCGCCTGCCGCTACATCATCTTGAGCCTTTCCGGCAGTCGAGACCGCTGAAACGCTGGAACTTCTGGAGCCTGACGGCTGGCACAATTGCCGAAGTAGATAGCATATACACTGGAAGTAGTGATGGCGCCTGTCCAATGACTTAAAAGTTTACCCCAGCACGCATGCGCCTTCGGGCACTCCCAAAACAAGTGTATAGAAGTCTCTGCCACCCCTTGACACACTTGCAAAGGAGACAGCTAATGCCCGCGGGGCGCCCCGCGCGATAGAAATTAAGTTGCTTCGTAGCGATGCGAAACGCCATCCAAACGTGAAAGTCCGATAGCCCGTTGTCATGTTCCAGACCTGTGAAGGAAGCTGATGGGCCGCCGCCAGGAGCCACGGGTCCGTGCGAACTACCGAATCCAATCGCTCCGGCAAGGGTTTCAAGGGACGTGTTAGTAGGCGCTTTTGGAGCTGAAACGCCTGTCGATCAAATGCCTGACGCAAAGAATCATTAGGGACCGTATGGGGCACGATCCAAGCAAACCGATGATGGATAGGGTGTGCGTAGAAGACCAACCTGCTCTGCCGGAGGTATGTAGCCCAGCTTAGACGCAGTTCGGCCAAGTCTGGGTCTAGCTTTGGTGGCTCCGTCTCAAAAGACCAGTGCAGCCCGTCAGCGGCCTGCTTTAAGCGAATCAGACCCTCATCCGACTGTAAAAGACCTCTGCGAGTACCGATGATGCAGCCACGGCACTCCGTCACCCAGTCATAATCATAACAAAACGGTGGGGAGTGGTGAAGCAACAAGACAGGCTACATACCCAGTACCGACTCAACCGGGAAACAAGGTGACGCCGACAAAATAGCAGTCGCCCATCGCCGTAATTTAGCTTGGAGTACTTAACACCTCCCGGCATCGACGGTGGCATGGCAAAAACAAACTCGGTTGGGCCCGTCCTCCGAACATGTAGACGAGCGATCGAACAGGCTTCAATTTTGTCATATTTTGAGTTCTGAAGTACCCCACCTGTAGCATCACGAATCCACGGGTTACCGCTCCAACCAAAAGTCCCCCAAAACGGAAGCACCGCGTGAAGACGATAGTCGGGGGTAGCACGGGCTTCAGGAAAAGGAACCGAGTACGACAGCACCCAGTCATCTTCGGCCCACCAGCTGCCAGCTGTTCGAACCAGTGACGTGAAATGGGTTGATAGCCGATGTCGGCGGTGTTCCGCCTGCTCCTTCGTCGGCTCTAGAAGCATGTCCAGGTCTCTAGCAAAAGATCCTTTGAGGACAGCCGTGAGCGGGATGGTAGCGTCTGACCCTGCGGCCATTCGTGCATTAGTAGACCAGAACGAGTGGACCGACCTCGGTACGCCCAGGCACGCCATGCATAAAAATACTTATCATGGAATTAAGTCAGCCATCGCAATGCGTGTTTCAAGCGTTGCGTTTTTAAGCCACCTCCACTGAGGCTGGACCGACCCCACCCGCCTGTTTCGGTGCGTACAATAAACCAGGACTGATCTCCTGTCGACTTGCTTCAGTCGAGGTCGCGTGAGCCCACACGAATTGTTTATAGAGATTATGGACGTCCTTGCGGGCCCATTCGGGCATCTCGAACACCGCTGCCGTGAATAGGATCGACGGTAAAACGATAGCATTGAGAACGACCACCCAATTGGCCACACTTGTTGTAATCGTCGAAGCTGTTACCAATATCCGCTGGAGCCGCCGAATCCTAAGCGCCCAGTTACGATGGTGGAGTTCACCGGTTCCGACCACGTACCCCAAGTACCGCGTGGTCTCTCCGGACCGAAGCACCGAATTACCGAGATATTCGTCCAGCTTAATAGATAGGTTTAAAAAATCAATCAATTTAGGCTTGGCTGGCTGGGCATGCAATCCGGACGACATGCCAAAGCGAGCCACGATTTTGAGCGTCGGTGTCAATTGTTTTGCATTCTAGAGAAAGATGGTCGAGTCATTAACAAAGGCGGAGAATGTGTGAGACTCACCTCCGCCCCCCGGGACTGGAAGCCCGTGCAAGTCTGGAGATTGGTGGATAGCATCCCCCAATATCTCCACCGCTATTAGAAAGAGTAATGGGGCGAGTGGGCAGCCTTGTCGAATACCAGACACGACAGGAAGAGGGTCTGAACATTCGCCATTTACGAGAAAGGAAGCCGTCGTCTCGAAATGAAGCCGTGAAATAAGCTGTTTATACTGCTCTCCAAAACCGAAACTCCGTAGAGCCTCATACAAAAAGTCACGGTCGACCGTGTCATACGCCTTCCGAAAGTCCAGTAATAAGACGAATCGGCTATCACTCACAGCCGTAGCCTCATCTGTACGAGCCGTTGCAAGCTGCGACGTCATCATCATCACAAGCTTTGACATCTGTCGACCGTGGACAAATCCTTGCTGAGACTGCCCAATAAGTTTGGGCATAACGTGCTGTAGACGCGTCTCCAACACCTTGGCGAATATCTTGTAACTCTTTTGCAATAACGAGATGGGTCAATAGTCCATTGCGTCTGTCGAGTCGCCCTTCTTGCGTAACGGGATAATACTTGCTTCCAAAAACGATCGTGGGGGATCATCCCCTTCCAAGATTTGATTGCTCACGGCCACAAGAGCAGGGACGAGGAGAGTCTGTGTGTCTTTAAAAAATTCATTGTTCAGTCCATCTGGACCCGCCGCCTTATGGCGATTGAGAATCGAAATACAGTGACGATCTCCGCTTCTGTTAAATGCGTCAATAGTGCATTATTCTCTTCGTGTGCTAATAGCCGGGCGGCTGGGATGCGTGCAAACTGTCTTACGGCCAACGCAAGATCCTTAAGTGGATTAGTTCGATGACTGGTTCCCATAATTGACGACCATTCTGAGGCAAATTTATCAGCCACCGTCATTTGATGTGTAAAAGTCGGTCCATGCAGTCGAACAATATCAGTTACTCGCTGGTCCCGTTCCCAATCAGAAACCCGCCGAAAAGTCCACCGTAACACATCTGAGGATTGTTCCAGGTTCTGTCCAATACGCACGAGATGTTCACGCCGTAATTCTTCGACGTTCTTCTCTATCCACGATACCCTCGAAACTAATGAACAGTCCATTTGTCGAACGAGCTTGCGACGAAGTCGGGTGCGTCTCAGCTTGTCACGCTTACGGACACGCTGGATACACTCACCAATATCCACATCCCGAGAAGTTGTCGCAACCCCTTGCCCGATGACCATGTTGTCCATTTCTTGTATCAGCTCATCGATGACACCTGCCCGATTTGACGTTTTGATCGGGTACGACACCTACATGTGAGTTCTAAAGCAGCCCCCACTCCGCGGTGCCCTAAGTAATAGCACCACCTTCTAATGATCTGACAACTGGGGGGGGGGGTGGCTGCGATGAAACCCAGTGGACGCGGGTCACCCAATGAGGCGGTACGTAGAAGCGGTCTATGCGACTGTCTCGTACACCCTCCCAATACGTGAAATGATCTACGCAGGCAGCTGCAGACTCGTCCTCCGCCTGCTCCCGAAGCATCCGAGTGTCAGCTAACCCCGTAGAGACGATCAGAGAGTCAAGTGCTGGGCTTTCCGACCTGGTAGAGCGCTGGTGACCATACCGATCTAACGCTGAACTCTCCACACTATTGAAATCTCCTACAAGAATGGAGCTCCGGGTCTTCAGGTCCCAAGCGAGGAGGCTGTGAAAACAATCTTCCCGGGCTCCTCGCTCAGTGGGAGCATAGACATTCAATACAATGGTTTTGTCAATTGTGACAGCTAGTACACGTTTGCTCCATAGATTCACTTTCCACGCCGATGCTAATAGCGCGGACTCAGGAGTCAAAAGTCTCGCCACGCCTCCCTGGGATGTAGAGTCAGTACTCTAATAGGATAAAGTTGGGGAACTAGCTACCAGGTGCACCCCCCCCATAGTCGTGCCCAGGCATTCCGTAACTCAGCCGCCTCTTCTTCAGTGCCGACATGTGTCTCTTGGAGACACCACGCAAGAGGACGATGCCGTTTGCTCACCCCCCCCGCCACGCCGACATCAAACCAACCCGAGCACTTTTTTTTAGGCCTCGCACGTTCTGAGTTATGTAGGCCGTATCTCCTTTCTGTGATCTCGGCGAATGGCTTGTAACAACGTGGGAGGATTCCCATTGCCGAAGCAATCGAAGACGCCCGTATTCGTCGACGTCGTCGAATGCTGCTGTGCGGAGATCAGCGACATTTTGAACACGTGAGCTGCCTTTAGTACTCAGATAGCACCTGTGGATCGACAGGCACTAAGGCGATTAGAAAAAGGATGTAAGCGTGCGCCAATTGATGAGTTTTTCCCCAAAAGAAAAAAATGCTGACCGGTAGCCCGAGTTACTTCGCAAAAGAATGACATGACGACGAAGTTTCTCCGGCATCAGGTCTGTAGATTGGCCCTGACCGTGCAAAGCGGCTTTCTCCGTATCGAAAAGTAGAGCGCAGAGAAGGTGCTGGCTCAATGAACGCGTCTGCGCGGGTCACATAGTCGTAATACATCATCCACTGCACAGTCGATCTCTCGAAGGCGGACTTAACCATCTGAACTGTCAACTAGAGGGGCGAGCCGAGATACGCCCACCCGATGCTGCGCACTCGTAATCCAGTGATCAATCCAAGCCACTGTGGCTACGTCCTTGACCCTATTTCGGTACGCGCGCAGCCCAGATAAGAGGGCGTCCTGCCGCCAAACAGCGGTCCACTGGACGAGAACTTGAGCATCAAGGCTGGTCATCAATACGGGCGGATTAACGAATTGGCGCACGTGGTAGAATAGTATGTCCGGGTCATGGTACGCGGTATGCAGCCAAGACTCCACGCTGCCAAATATTTGTGGATAAGGCGTGGCATTAGGTGGCCATTCTGAGCCAAGAGCCTTCTAAACGACCGGCCATTCATCCTGATCGATACGTACATCCAGTGGAAGCAACAGGGGCGGATTCGGTCCGGCGCTCACTCGGTCTCGTTTTGTAGTCCCATCTGCTGGCGTATCGATGGAGACGTCAGTGGCTGCCGCTGCAGATCCTGACTTAGGAGAATGAGCACGTTTGCGAGCGATACCTTGGGTAATGTGCCCCTTGTGCGCTACAACTAGGGAGCGCTCTGGAATTAGCGCAAGCGACGACGCCTCAGTGACTTGGCGTTCAGATGCCCCCGTCGAAGGTGAGTGCACGACCAGCGTTGTAGGAAAATCAACCGTGGGAGAAGTTGCGCTAGTTCGGTACACCATACTTTGGTGCTGACCGTGGGAACTCAGGTGCAGGGACGGGTCGGGAGTCGAACCGAAAGACAGCCCACCTGGTGCGGCCTCAGAGCCGAACGGAACCGGACCATCGGTACAGTCGAGTGCACAGCTCTCGTGTTCAGTATGGATACACGCGTAGTAATGCCGTTCTATTACCCGGAGAATCAATGTTGGAAGTCTCGGGCGATCGATCTTAGCCGCCTGAATGTCGTCGATGCAAGTCAACAGGGGTAATGGATGCGCAATTTCTGTCTCGACGACCCGACCATGCCTATTTATCGTCGCTGGTCGATATCGCCAACAGCTCCACTCGCTATCGTTGCCGTCGCGACGTTCGATGACATAGATATCACGCCGCACAAAGTTGGCGGCCATCCGGAGTATTTCGCTGCCACCCCAGAAATCGTCGGCCACAGAAGCGTCTCGGTTCGGAAGCAGTTGACGCGTAGTCGTGCAGGTACCACTTGAATTAAGCGGCCGACTCTTTGCTGGACATGGAAGTCCAGCCACGACCGACCTCACGTAATGCGGCCACCCGCTGAACGTGTGACAGCTGGTCCTCCAGATTTAGGAGACCAGCGTTAGTTGTGCCCCGCTTGACACACGCCTCCAGCTGCTCGAAGTGTGTATCCGAGTTAACTAGTGAAGACCCAGCTGTAGCTTAGAACAGCCATAGCCAGACAATTTCCTGTCACAGGCGCAGTGACTGCCCTAACACCCAATATGCGCTCCAATTGTTGCTCCCGAATGGGCTCAGTCTCCGGTCTCGGTTCCAGAGGAATCGCATGATTAACTGTCCCATCCGTCTCGTTCACGAGCCGGTGAAGCTGCGCTCGTACTGCGCACTGTGCCATTAACAGTGCTGGGCCTTTCCGCACTGGAGCCTGACCCTGAATTACTGCTGCACGTTTCCTGGATTCCTCCTCCAAAGACAGCTTACAGACTGGCGGTTTTGCACTACTAGACGCCGACACGAGTGGGACATCCGCCACTGCGGTTTCGGCCCGAAACCGATCCCCACAACCGCGTGCGTCAACGACGTCTTCCCGGAGAACACCATATGCTCCTATTTGGATCCTTGTAGCAGCAGGAGACGGCGCAGCTGTACCGTGCTGCCAGAGCCCCCCCCCCGTCCTCGGATGGGGCTCGAAAGCCAATGTCGCCCAGGTGACGGTAAAGGAGCTGGTTGGCGTGGGACCACCGTTGGGTCTCGCCAACGCGCTTCTGTTACCAAAAGGGACGCATATGACGCACCTGGCTGCACGACCTCGGTGCTGGGCAAAGAGGCCGCCGATACTGCTTCAGGAGTGACGGCAGCTTGAGCCGCCGCGTCGGCTGACCGCTGGACCAGTAGACGTTTGCAAGCCATTCGATGCATCTCGTCGGGGCTGCCAAACGTTTTATCAAGGTCTTCCACCGCATGAAGATCCGCTTCGGTGACCACAACCCCACCTGGACCTAGCAGCTCGCGTCCGTATACTGAAACCGCGACGCCGGATGGCACACGTGCCCACAACAAAGACACTGCAGTTGGCGCCCCACTCCCGGGTGACGTACGATGATTGTTGTGCCAAACCACAGTATACGAACCACACCTTGCAGAAAAGCCGGACACCCGGCCAGCTGAATTGTGGCGCGCCACGCTGTTGACGTCCGCGAATTAGGAGTGTAGGTATCCAAATCGTCAATTTCAAAATCCGTAGGAATTTTTTCTTGAGGTACGCTGCGATGCGCCCAATTTCATGAAAACGAGTTAAGTTATAGAGCTCAATTATGTACTCCGTACGTGACCTACCCGAGCGTCCATCTGGACCGCTCTGATCCAGCCATACCAAACCTCTGACAGCATGGTGAACGTTCTCCAGTGTGTACACCCTGCCCTGAAAGGGAATCTGAACGGCTTGTAGCTGAGCAGCTGTCTTCCGAGAAAAAAAGTAGAAGTGAATACTTCTCCTTGTTCTGTTATAGCTGATGGTCTTGGTCAGCCCAAGTAGCTCATGAATTTCACGGATGTTAACTCGCGCCAACTCCGCCGATTCCAGGATCATGTCCGTGATCGCCCGCGTTGTACATCGACAGACTGGAATCTCACGTCCACTGCCGCTGTGAAGCACAAGTTGGCCTTCCACTTGCGCCTGGATGGTGCTATACAGACAGAGACGCTCTTTACTATCCATGACAGCTCGTAGGAAGTCCGGCATCCAGCGACATGCAATGTCTCCTTCAGCAATGCCAATTGTAACGGGGTGAATCGTTACATAACAATTTATAAGAAATTGTTAATAGAATATAACTATAAGAGTTATATTCTCAGAATATTGTCATAAGGACAATATTCTGTAGCACTTCCAAGTAGTCCCTAATTGGTTGATATAGGCCATTATATCAACCAACGAAGACGCGCCACGACAGACGCACGCAATGAGTGGTGAGCAGATAACTGATTTACACATTTGTATTTAGACATAGTTAGATGAAGATAAATAGTGATTTATTGCAGACATTAACTATTATAAATACAGTTCTACTTTTTACTCTAACCAAGTACTCGCTTCTTCATACCGTCTTCCTCTGCACGTACCAGTGTACGTGAAGTTACGAGGCACCGCCTTATTCTGTTATCAGAATAAGTAGCTTGTACTGTCACCAGTACAAGCTTCAGGGTGCCCCGCTACACCTGGTAGCACTTCGTAGTCCGTCCAAGGACCGCGTTCACATCCAACATGAATATGTTGGATGATGAAGATGACCAAAGCTTTCACGCTACGCGTGACGGCTACTCCCATTTGAGCGATGTCGAATGGGATGCGGTTGAACGAATGGGTTCGACCATGGGCATCCATGCTGTTAGCGTCATGCTAGAGGCTCTCAATAGAGATGCCCAACATGCTACTATCGCCAAGTTCATTCAAAATGAACTTGACGCAGAACGCGAGAAAGTAGCCTTGCTTCACCAACAAGGTTCTCAACAAGCAGAGTTGTTGAGAGAACAAGGTGCTCAACAGTTTGAACTGTTGAGACAGCAGCAGGCTGCTGCTGGCGGGTCGATGCACTCGCGTCGGCCCGAGACTTTTGAAGATTGACATCTCAAAGTATAGGGGGTCGAAGAAGACTCCCTCTTGAGATGGTTCGTCGAATTGGATGACGCCATAAGGGCGCGTCGCATCGACGACGGGGATATGCAAGTTGCATTTGCCCAGTCAAATCTGGCAGGACGTGCCAAGACTTGGGCACTGGGGCTCAAGCTGCACGACCCATATGCGTTTGGGTCGTTAGAAGTCTTCAAGTCGCGGCTCAGACAAACGTTTGAACCGCCTAGAGCTGAGTTCAGGGCTCGAACCGAACTCTTGAAGCTCAAGCAGGGTAAGCGTGATGTGCACGCTTACGCTCAACATATACGACATCTTACGAGTTGTATAAGTTCCAATCCAGTGGATGAACACACGTTGGTTTCGGTGTTCATGCAGGGTCTTGCGGATGGTCCCGTCAAGACTCACCTGTTCCGGCTTGAACTAGATTCACTAGAACAAGCCATTTCCATTGCGGAGCAGGAAGACTTCAGTCTGAGACAGGCTCGCGCCAGCTCGACATCATATCGTCAACCGAGACGATATGACAACGGAGGTCCAGAGCCGATGGAACTCTGTTATGTAGAGAGTGAGAAGGTTCGCTCTACAGGCTACAAGAAGTTGCAGAGATGCAACAGATGTCAAAAGACAGGACACTACGCTTACGAGTGTAGTGCTCCCTCGTCCAGTGTCTCGCGACACTGGGCGTAGTGACCGTCCACCCATGAGAAAGGGGCAGGGGACGAGGGTCCGCAGTTGGTGCAAAGACGCAACAACGGGATGGACCGTCAAAAAACGGACAGGATCAGTAGGTGCGGAGCACCCTACTGATCCAGCAACGTCAAGAGAATTTGTAGGCCTCTTGATGAAGGTTGCTCCCAACACACAGACATTGTGCGTTGCTGCTCTAGGTAATGAGATCTCACTCATTACCTTGAAACTCGAAGTGACAAAATAAGTTGTCCCTTCGAGCTCTAGTCGATTGTGGGGCGTCCAACAATTTTGTGCGACGCCAATCGCTAGAAGATGGTCACTTTAAATTCAGTGAATGTGACACACCTCCTACGAGGATGACGGTACGTCTTGCGACAGGCGCATCCGTAACCGTCATGAAGCGTATAGTGAAGATTCACTATACGCTAGAAGATACCCAATACGACGATGACTTTATCGTATTGGATTTGGATGACAAATTTGATGTCATCCTTGGAATACCGTGGCTCAGAAGGTACGAACCACGGGTAAACTGGCAACATCGGACAGTAACGATGCCTGCCGCTTGTTCATCAGATGGCCATCTGATGAACGTTTTGGAGCGTCCACAAGCGTGTGGATGTACTACGAGTGAGTGCGATGGCCTCACTTGTGGTACGGTCGTTAGTACGACTGCACAAAACCTTAGTGTACCAAACGGTTACACTTCGAGCAAAGTTCCGGCGGCTGTGAGGAAACACAGGCTGCGCCGAAGGTCCACCACTCGAATAAGTCGGGTGGACTGGGACAAAGATGTATCCCTAGCGGGGAACATCTAGAAGAGAAACAATCGATCGCTCAGGTTAAGCGAAACGATAATCCTAGATCGACTGGAGAGTCTTTCGTAGAGGATCTCGCTGTGGTTGCGCAACCCCAGCTAGAGGAAGTAAAGGGAATAAGTCCCAAGATTACAAATACGGCGGAAATAAGTTCCCCGAAACCCGCGGGAATAAGTCCCCGGGAAGACGAAGGAATAAGTCCTTCGAAGCCTGAGGGAATAAGTCCCCAGGAAATGACAGAGACATTGAATGTCATAGTCAATAACGGATCATGTGTAGGCGCTTATACACTTGATCTGATTGCGCCTCCGAAGTTAACTTCGGAGATCACTCAGTTGCCAACGCTCGAACATAAAAGATTCTTGCGTGATCTGCGTAGTGGCAAAGTCAAGCAGATCTGCATACTCGTCGCTGACGACGAGTATGTAACCGACATAAGGTCAGCAACAGTGTTTACTGAGAACGAGAGAGTTCTCAGTAGTTCATCTATGGACGAGAGTGTCCTAGATGAAAAGACACGAATTGAGCGATATGACTCCCAATCATGGGAATCGCTCAAGAAAAATCCTCTCTATGAAGATTTGGTTGAATTCAAGGATGTATTCCCTGAAACTGTTCCGTGCGAATTACCGAAGGATAAAGGTATTCGACACGAAGTCGAGCTTAAACCAGGCTCGAAGTACTGTGTCATGAAGCAGTGGCCACTGCCTCGTGAACAAGTACTTGCGATCGACAAGTTCTTTGCCGATCGTTTAGCAGCGGGCCATGTGAGGGAATCAACTTCCCCACATAGCTCTCCGACCTTCTGTGTGCGAAAAGCAACAGGAGGGTGGCGGATAGTGCACGCGTTCAACAAATTGAACGCTGCAACGGTACCGGCTCAGACGCCGATACCGAGGAAGGACGTAATCATTGATGGTATGTCAAAGAGTACCATCTTTTCGTCCATGGATTTGATGGATGGCTTCTATCAAATCCTAATGCGGGAACGGGATATACCCTATACCGCAGTTAGCACGCCTAGCGGCATGCTCTGGGAATGGCTAGTAATGCCACAAGGGCTCAGTAATGCCCCTGCCACGTTCAACAGGTGTGTATCACATCTGTTGAGGCCAGTACGAGAATTCGCGCCGAGTTATTTCGATGACGTATTCATCCATAGTCGAGCTATGGATGGAAAGTCGGACGTTGAGGTTCACAGGTACCACGTCCGACAGGTTCTTACAATCATGCGAAAGCATCAATTGTATGCAAACCTCAAGAAGTGTATATTTGCAGCAAGCGAAATACCACTTCTTGGGTGCATCGTTGGTAAGAACGGTGTACGTCCTGATCCCGAAAAGATCAAGGCGATCACCGACTGGCCTGTGCCGGTCGATGTCAAAGGTCTTCAAAAATTCCTTGGGCTAGCGGCGTATTTGCATAAGTATTCACGCAATTACGCCGAGATGACTGTACACCTCTCTCGTTTGTTGAAAAAGAACGAGAGGTGGTTATGGAACGCTGAATGTCAACGCTCCTTTGAGGGTATCAAGCAGAGCTTGATACAATCCCCAGTCCTAGCAATAGCCGATCAGGACATGCCATTTGATGTGGTCTGTGATGCCAGCGATTTCGCAATCGGCTGTGCATTAATGCAGTACGACCCAGAAGGCGTTGAACGCGTCGTCTGCTATCAGTCGCGTCAGCTGCAACCAGCTGAGCGGAACTATCCAGTGCATGACAAGGAACTCCTTGCCATGAAGTATGCACTCGCGAAGTTCAGAGTCTATCTATTAGGAGATAGACCCTTCGTTGTTTACACTGACCATGCGTCCTTACGCACGGCAGTGAACAGCCCGCACCTTTCACAACGAATGGCGCGGTGGTTGTCATTCTTTGCAGAATACAACTTTACGGTCGAGTACAAACCAGGACGACTTAATGTCGTCGCTGATGCACTCTCACGTCGTCCCGACTTTGAAACAGTCGCGAAACCCAACAGTGAGACAGTCACTGTTGCAGTTATGACGTCCTCAATTCCATCTACAACGTTGTATGATGATGTGAGGCGGGCATACGCCCAAGATGGTGAGATAGTGAAGTTGTTGTCACATCTCTCCCAACCATCTCGAGAATCGTTGAAACGATTGTCGTCTGCGTATCGATCTGCATCAGATCGATACACTACTCGTAACGGTTTACTGTACTATACAGCCGTTTCTGGTGACACACCACGTGTTGTCATTCCAGATGATATTGATCTGCGTTTGCGGATCATGTTCGAGTATCACGATGCTCCTATAGGAGGACATCGTGGCCGAGAGAAAACATATCTCACGGTAAGTCGAGACTTTTACTGGCCCCGCCAGTATCAGTTTGTGCGAAAGTATGTTCGCGCATGCGAAGTCTGCCAACGAGTGAAGTCAAGTCCTTCACTGCGTGCACCTTTACAGCCTCTACCGGTTCCGGCTGAGTGCTGGGAATCCATCTCAATGGATTTCGTCTTCGGGTTACCCAAAGACGCACGCGGGAATACGGGTATTCTCGTATTTGTTGACAGATTCAGCAAAATGGTACACCTTGTGGCTGTACCAGAGACAATCACGGCAAGTGGCTGTGCTTGTGTCTTTATTGACACCATCTTCCGACTTCATGGGTTGCCCCGTGAACTCGTATCAGACAGAGATCCACGATTCACTGCTGATTTCTGGCGTTCCGTGTTCAAATCACTCGGAACGCGCTTGAAGATGTCAACATCTGATCATCCAGAGTCAGATGGTCAGACGGAACGTGCCAATCGTGTCCTTGAAGAGATAATTCGAGGATACGTACACTCCTTTAAGAGTTGGAGTGAGTTTTTGCCGATGGTAGAGTTTGCCATCAACAACTCGGTGCATGCGTCGACGACACATACACCGTTTTACGTGAATGGCTTGCGCCATCCGCGTGTACCCACCTTACTAGAGTGTAACTCTGGTTTAAGGGGGGAGGGACTCGCGCGAGCAAAAAACGATTTGGTTCACGCTCATCACGCTCTGACGAAGAAGTCATTGCGTTTGATGCCGATATCGATAACATCGATATCGAAGAAGATGATACCAGTGAGAGCGAGGAAGCTCTCACTGAAGAAAAGGTTGTTGTTGCTGCAGTGCGCTCACAGCACACTGAAGCTAACGAGTCATCAGATGAGTTCATACTGGCTCGTGAAACGGTAGTCCGTTTTGTGCAAGACTCCATCGCCGAAGCGGTGGATAAGCAAAAGCAAAACGCTGACAAGAATGGAAGGGCAAACACTCTTTTATTTAATAAAGGTGACTTAGTCCTACTGTCTACGGTTAATCTACCGAAACATGTAGTGACTAACTTGGGTAGCAGTAAACTACTACCCAAGTACATTGGCCCATTTCGTGTATTGCACCGCCTAGGCAATGCATACACGATCGAGTTACCACGTAAGATGCGAACGCATCCCACGTTTTACGTTGGTCGGCTTAAGCCGTACCATCAGTACGCTGCTTCTTCCGATGAAGAACGCCCTTGCGCTCAAGCATCTCGCAGAGAGCCTTGTGCTCCCGATGGTGGGCATCAACAAGGGTCTGAAGAGCAGTTATCTCAGCCCGAGACCGATCAACAATCCCACGAGCTACCCTTAGCTCGTCACGAAGAGATGTCAGAGATCTCTCGTTCTCAAGCTGAGCAAAGGCAAACTCAGCTCGATGCTTCGAGGCAGTGTCCACCATCTGGAGACGCCTATTCCGCTCATGCTCGAGATCGTCGCGTAACCCTTGCGTTACGCGATCAAAGAAGCTCTCGGGAACACACCGATCCACATGATCGTGTGGAGAGCGTCTTTCCTCCTCCTCCACCTCCATTAGAGGACTCTCGCGGTGGCCAGCGCTATCTAGTAGAGCAGCTGTTGAACCACCGCGACGTGAACGGACGTCGGACGAGTTACCTCGTCCGGTGGCGCGGCTATCCCCCGTCCTGGGATTCTTGGGAGCCCCGCTCCCAATTGATGGTTGACGTACTGGGTCTGGTCGAGCAGTACGACGCGACACATCCTGTGCCGCAGAAGGACCGCCGGAGAAAGTCTTCCCGGCACGGTCGTAAAGGGATTTCAGGTTGTCAATCCCTTCGTACATCTCAGTAGAGACACGTACGCGCCACCACGGACTGGTAAGGAGGTAAGCCTCCTTAGGTGCTCGTGCAGAGTTGTTCACACAACATGGGCACGAGTCTCCCCAAGAGAGGCAGGGTAATCCTTTCTCCCTTGACAGACGATGCAGCTTATAGCGTGCACCTGTCGGGGTTCGCTTTTCAAACTTATCACGAGCTTTGATAAGTTTGTCGTTCCAAGCGTCACGACCTACATCCTCGAGATTATGGATGTAGGCGTTCCACGCCTGAAGTAGTGAGGGACCATCACGTTTGTGATTCCCACTGTACCATCGATGTCTGAAGAAAGCATCGATGAAGAACTCATGTTCAGCGCGATAGTCTTTCGCGCTGGGGTCAAGGTGATGAATCCTCGACGAATCGAACAATCGTGTTCGATAACGATCACTCGTCGTCGCCGACAAGTGATCCATGACAGATTTAGGAGGCATCCATGCCTTCTTTTCTGGAGCGAGACGCAACAAATTGCGGTCCCGCTCTTCCTGCGACGTGCCGACAGAAGTACTGGCACCTCGCTGTGAAGTGGTGTCCATTGGAGAAACGACACCACTATTAGCGCCCGAGTCTCGCGACCTCGAGCGCCTTCGCTTCGGCGATGGTTCATCTGACTCATCAGATGAACCAAAGATGCTGCGACGCAAAGCATCGTCCATGCCACGCTTGGCAGGCGGCTTGGATTCAATTGCCGTCGATACGGATCCGTCATCCGTATCAGGAGAGTACGAGACACCGAGCTCGTACTCTGTGAAGACATGAGTGTCTTCATGACCAGCGCCTGCATCACCAGGTGATACAGGCTGAGTCGATTCAGCAACCGATGGGATATCAGTTGCTGTAGTTTCTGCTTCGGCGTCCGCACAGAGACGTGCAGACGCGCTCTCGGCGGCCTTGCTCGCGCATCGCATGGGCTTGTTTACCATGCGATGAGATGTTGGAAAGTGGACGCGGACCAACAAGTGCAAACCCCGTCCCAAATGATTTGGGACGAGTATCCATTTAGTCAATCAGTCACTAAAGTGACTGATGGTTAAGGGGGGTGATGTAACGGGGTGAATCGTTACATAACAATTTATAAGAAATTGTTAATAGAATATAACTATAAGAGTTATATTCTCAGAATATTGTCATAAGGACAATATTCTGTAGCACTTCCAAGTAGTCCCTAATTGGTTGATATAGGCCATTATATCAACCAACGAAGACGCGCCACGACAGACGCACGCAATGAGTGGTGAGCAGATAACTGATTTACACATTTGTATTTAGACATAGTTAGATGAAGATAAATAGTGATTTATTGCAGACATTAACTATTATAAATACAGTTCTACTTTTTACTCTAACCAAGTACTCGCTTCTTCATACCGTCTTCCTCTGCACGTACCAGTGTACGTGAAGTTACGAGGCACCGCCTTATTCTGTTATCAGAATAAGTAGCTTGTACTGTCACCAGTACAAGCTTCAGGGTGCCCCGCTACACCAATGATGACCTTCCACTTGTCATCAGTACCTTCGTGCAGCATGCGCGTGCTGACAAGGCTAAGGAGGGTCTTGCACAGGGTAATTAGGGTGCCGACCTCGTATTGGTAATGGTGTTGGTTACTGATACTAATGACCATATGTCATGGACGACACTGTGTGATAGTGTGTAACGATGGGATCGACTCATCGTTTTGTTACTAATATTATAGAGTCGATATCGATAGGCTTAGAGTAGTACAACGAGACGAACTAAGGACCTAGCTAGATGATAATTCACTTTCCATTTTACCTTCTTCTAAGCTCTCCCACCTCAACTCGCTCTTGGCTGTTGCCAAAAGTCAAAAGGTTATGAGCCCAACTACGCCGGATGCGGGCGACATACTCCGCGAAGATAACTACTTCGTGTGGGAGTTCAACGCAAGGATGAGGCTGGCAAAGAAGGGATTGCTAGAGCACCTAGACGCTATGAAGGCCCCAGAAGAAGGAGACGCAAGCGCGTCAACTTGGAAAGTCAACGACATGAAGGCCTTCGCGATTGTGTCCACAATGATCAGCACAAATCTTCAGTCAATGGTGCGCACGGCAGAGACAACGGCAAAAGCATGGGACATACTGAAGACTTTCTTCCTGCGGCAAAGTATGCACAATCGTGTGCAGTTGCGGCGGCAACTACATGAGTTCAAGTTGGCCAAGGGAGGAAGCATCATGGATCACTTCCTGAGATTTGACGAGCTGTGCATGACTATGCAAGCTGTGGGACAAGAGATCTCACAGGATGAGCATTTGGTCATCCTATTGGGTAGTCTAACGAGAGACTATGACCCTATCGTCAAGATAATTGAGAACATGCCCGGAATGACACTGTTTCACGCTAAGGAAATGCTGAGACGGGAGTACGATGGAATGGCGAGGACAGAACACCAAGAAATCGCACTGAAAAGTACGCACACTTCCAAGTACAAGAAAGGTCCGCGCAGACATATGGGGAGATCAAGTTCAAGAGGTGAAAAGTTTTCGGGAAGGTGTTACCGATGTAACAAATATGGGCACAAGCGTCAAGATTGCAAGGCTGAACAAGTGGAGACAGAGCGATCTGGAGAAGAGAGAGCATTTACTGCGTCAAGTCGGACGTCAGCTGGATGGTTATTGGACAGTGGGGCAAGCAGCCACATGTGTCCCGACAGAAATGAGTTTTCGAATTTAAACTCACTGACGGACCCGATCATGATCACCATAGCAGACGGCAGCGAAGTGGAAGCGTAAGGTGTTGGGACAGTGCGCGTGCAACTCAAGACTGGTGAAGTGATCAGGATCGAAGAAACGCTATGGGTGCCGGGCCTAGACCGAAGGCTACTGTCAATATCGGCATTGTCAAAGAGGGGTCTACAAGTGATCTTCTCAGATCTGAGCTGTCAGATCAGAAGTAACACGGAAGTCGTTGCCCAAATACCAAGACGAAACAAGATGTACGTCTTAGAGTGCAGTCCGGCTGAGGTAGCCAACGTTTGCGAAGAGACATCTCAAGAGCAAGAATCAGGTGACGGATCAGGAGCGGCTGATCTACAAGTGTGGCATGCAAGATTAGGTCACCTGTCAACGAAGATGCTCAAGGGTATGGCAGGTTGCGTCAATGGATTAAGGATCAAGAAGAATCAAGGCGTTGAAGATGATATCGAGATCTGCGAAGGGTGCATCATGGGTAAAGCAACCGTCAAGACGTTTCCGAAGTCACCATACGGACACGTGAAAACCAAGGAAGTGTTGCAGTTGGTCCACAGTGATGTCATGGGACCTATGGAATCGAAGTCTCGAGGAGGATCAAGATTTGTCGTGACTTTTATTGATGATTATTCGAGATATATAGTCGCATACTATATTGAGAACAAGTCGGAAGTGACGGATCGCTTTATAGAGTATAAGGCACTTATGGAGAATCAACTGTCCAAGAAGATCAAGTGTATCAGGACGGACAACGGGACGGAATACGTCAACAGACGTTTCTCCGGTGTATGTCGAAAATCTGGTATCATGCATCAGACGACGGTACCCTATTCGCCACAACAGAATGGGCTGGCCGAACGCATGAACAGGACACTGACAGAGCGGGCCAGAGCAATGCTCAGCCATATGCAAGTGGATAAAATTTGGTGGGCTGAGGCGATGAACACGGCAGTCTATGTGACAAACCGAGTTCCATGTGCTAGTCACCCGACTAAAACTCCATTTGAGTTCATCTTCGGGAAGAAGCCTGACCTCTCCGAGATGTGTGTATTTGGATCAAAGGGATATGCACATGTCGACAAGTCGAACAGGACCAAGATGACCAAGAAGGCGATTCGATGTATTTTTCTAGGTTACTCGGATCAAATCAAGGGGCTTCGAATATGGGATGAAGATGCCAAGAGGGTGACGCACACGAGATCGGCTAAATTCGATGAGAGACCACCACTTCAGTACGTGCAACATTACAGCAGATCAAGTGACCAAGAGTTTCGCGCTGTTCATGACGAAGACACTGTTTCTATCGATTTAGAACAGCCACGAGTCACGAAAGACATGGACATAGCAATGGAGGACAGTCACAGTGTTCAAGAAGAGAGTCACATGCAAGACAGGCGTACAACAACGATGGCTCTACCATCAAGATGCAGTAGCAAGATGCCTGAACACGTGGGTTCCAATGCTGACGATCCAATGTTTGAAATTGATGATGTGACGATGATTGAAGAAGATCAAGAATCGGCTGAAGAAGTGTCAAGACAAGGACAGATGGTGATACGACCAAGTCGACAGACAAGTATTCAAGCATCGCAAGAAACCGCGATGGTTCCACTAGAATCGGTTCAACATGGACAATCTCAAGCGTTAATACCAGTGAATGGTGCTGATGAGGACTTTTATGACGGCTCAGAAGTGTGTCAAGAAAAAGGCACAAAGAGACTACGTATTGGGTATGAGCAAGCATGTGCAGCGTTCGAGACCCCAACGACATACGAAGAAGCTCTTAAGTCACCTCGTCGTGATAATTGGTACAAGGCCATTCAAGCTGAGCTCAAGGCATTAGAGGAAAAAGACACCTGGGCTGTTCAAACACAGCGTCCAAACCAGAAAGTGATTGGAACCAAGTGGGTGTTCACACTCAAACGAAACGAGCTGGGTGAGATTATTCGATACAAGGCACGTCTTGTAGCACTTGGCTACAGGCAGACGTATGGAGTTGACTACATGGAGACATATTCACCTGTGGCAAACCTCAACTCAATACGGGTGTTTTTGGCGGTGTGCTGTCAAAAGGGGATGTTGATTCATCAATATGATGTCGACACTGCTTTTCTGTATGGCGTTTTGGAAGAAGAGGTATACGTATACCCTCCTCTGGGTGTTCGTGCAGAACATAATCAAGTGCTTAAGCTGAATCGCAGTCTGTATGGGCTGAAACAAGCGGCCGCTACATGGTACAAGACAATTTCGTGTGTGTTTGTGGAGATGGGGTTCTCTTCATGCGTGGCAGACTCATGCATTTTCGTCAAAGAGACCAAGGGCTCGTGGATTTACGCTGCATTATATGTGGACGACCTTCTAATTGGGGCTGAATCTACTGGAGTGATGGAAGATGTGGCAGCTCAACTATCAAGTCGTTTCCAGTTGAAGATACTAGGGGGTGTTCGATACGTTCTTGGAATCGAAGTCAAGTACCTGCGCAACAATCGACGTCTGAAGATCAGTCAAGGATCGTGTATATCAAGAATGGTCGAGAAATTTAATCAAGTTGATGCGAAAGCAGTGTCAAATCCAAGTGTTGAAGGGCAAGCGATGGTCAAGATGGACAAAGCTGACACAAGAATGAAGAATCGACCGTATCGATCGTTAGTGGGGTCGTTGTTGTATGTGGCAACAGGCACACGACCAGATATTGCGTATACAGTATGTCAGCTGAGTCGTCATTTGGAATTTCCACATGAAGAGCACTGGAATGCAGCGATTCGAGTGTTGCGATATCTGAAGACGACGCAGAGCAAAGGAATTTGTTATGAAGGAGTTTCAGGCAATCTTCAGCTGAGCGCGTACACCGATGCAGACTGGGCAAGTAACAAGTGGAATCGCAGATCGATTTCGGGAGTTTTTATCATGATTAATGGCGCACCTGTGATTTTCAAGTCGAAGATGCAGCAGAGCGTGGCACTGAGCACGGCAGAAGCAGAGTATATGGCTCTTTCTTTATGTGTGCAGGAGGTTCTGTGGACAAGAAGTCTACTCAAGGAGATGCAAGTGCAGATTAACTATGCTGTCAAGATTCACGAAGACAACCAGAGTGCAATCGCTATCGCTAAGAACGACGGCTATCAAAGTCGAGCGAAACATATCGACATCAGATACCATTTTGTGCGCGAACAGGTGAAAGACAAGATTATCGACCTGCAGTATACTGAAACCAAGTCACAGCTGGCAGATTTTCTGACCAAACCGATTTCGACAAAGAAGTTCGAGTCGCTGCTGGACAAGGCCAGGATCAGAGACTTCTAGTCGAGGGGGAGTATTGGTAATGGTGTTGGTTACTGATACTAATGACCATATGTCATGGACGACACTGTGTGATAGTGTGTAACGATGGGATCGACTCATCGTTTTGTTACTAATATTATAGAGTCGATATCGATAGGCTTAGAGTAGTACAACGAGACGAACTAAGGACCTAGCTAGATGATAATTCACTTTCCATTTTACCTTCTTCTAAGCTCTCCCACCTCAACTCGCTCTTGGCTGTTGCCAAAAGTCAAAACCTCGGCCGGCGAATGTTTCGCCGGATAAAACATGAAGTCCTCATATACGGTCCGTCGCGGTCCAGCGGTCCCGGCCTGTTCTGACTGTGTCTCGCGACTTGCGACTTGTGCCCACTGGTTGAGAATTGGAGCCGATGCCCACTTGTGCTGGCTGGATAGCTTTCGAACAAACTCCTTGAAGGCCCATTTTTAAGCCTAGTAGCTCCTGACCGACCGCACGCGCAAGGCGTTGCCACTCCGTAAACGACCCCTTGTGTAAAACAAAAATTTGCTGAAAGAGTCCAAGGAAGCAGACCAGTTCTTTGCCCTTTAGCGTAGGGTAACGTATGTGCTCGGCAGGCAACAGCTCCGTGCGCACTGACAATCGACTATACTCGGCCGTAAACAGTTCTTGTAGAGTTTCTTTCCAAACGTCTACGTAGCCGGTACCTTGATACACAGTCATATCGGCTACGAGGGCCTCAAACATGTCCCTTCCGGGCACCACCGGCGGGGAGGGCGCCTATGATGACCGTTCTGACGCCGGCAACGATTCTTACTCAGGAACACATCTGGCTGCAGCCGAGAAGTAGTTTTCCTGCTCAGAGCGACCAGCGGTTGGGCCCATTTCCCCGTCTGACTCAGATTTCTCCGCCGACCCTGCTGTCGGAGAGGCGGCGATGGGTAAACCCAGCTCGGGGACTTCGTCGTTGACTTCTCCGGTCTCACATGTGTCGATACCGCTAGGGAGAGGTACCAAGGGGCCTGATCCAGGTGGTGCGGGGGTACCGTCTTCCTCACCGTCCATGGCGGTCTCGTAGTATAAAGGGACCCCAGCGTCCAAGGAACCTCCCGGCATTGTCCCGGGGCGAAGTGGGGCTACCCCTTCCCCGTCAGGGGAAGGGGGGCTAGTGGTGGCTGTGTGCTCGTCGGACCAAACTGCTGGTGAAGCCAGTCTCTGCTCCGTTTTTACTCCTCTTGCGCTCGGTCTGATCCGGTCGCTGCAGATCGAAGAGTGACAACAGTGTAACGGGGCACCCTGAAGCTTGTACTGGTGACAGTACAGGCTACTTATTCTGATGACAGAATAAGGCGGTGCCTCGTAACTTCACGTACACTCGTACGTGCAGAGGAAGACGGTAAGAAGAAGCGAGTACTTGGTTAGAGTAAAAAGTAGAACTGTATTTATAATAGTTAATGTCTGCAATAAATCACTATTTATCTTCATCTAACTATGTCTAAATACAAATGTGTAAATCAGTTATCTGCTCACCACTCATTGCGTGCGTCTGTCGTGGCGCGTCTTCGTTGGTTGATTTAATGGCCTATATCAACCAATTAGGAACTACTCGTAAGTGCTAAAGAATATTTGTCCTTATGACAATATTCTGAGAATATAACTCTTATAGTTATATTCTATTAACAATTTCTTATAAATTGTTATGTAACGATTCACCCCGTTACATCACCCCCCCCTTAACCATCAGTCACTTTAGTGACTGATTGACTAAATGGATACTCGTCCCAAATTATTTGGGACAGGGTTTGCACTTGTTGGTCCGCGTCCACTTTCCAACATCTCATCGCATGGTAAACAAGCCCATGCGATGCGCGAACAAGGCCGCCGAGAGCGCGTCTGCACGTCTCTGTGCGGACGCCGAAGCAGAAACAACAGCAACTGATGTCTCATCGGTTGCTGAAGCGACCCAGCCTGTGTCACTTGGTGATGCAGGCGCTGGTCATGAAGACACTCGTGTCTTCACAGAGTATGAGCTCGGTGTCTTGTACTCTCCTGATACGGATGACGGATCCGTATCGACGGCGATCGAATCCAAGCCGCCTGCCAAGCGTGGCATGGATGATGCTATGCGTCGCAGCATCTTTGGTTCATCTGATGAATCAGATGAACCATCGCCGAAGCGAAGGCGCTCGAGGTCGCGAGACTCGGGCGCTAATAGTGGTGTCGGTTCTCCTATGGACACCACTTCACAGCGAGGTGCCAGTACTTCTGTCGGCACGTCGCAGGAAGAGCGGGACCGCAATGTCTTGCGTCTCGCTCCAGAAAAGAAGGCATGGATGCCTCCAAAATCCGTCATGGATCACTTGTCGGCGACGACGAGTGATCGTTATCGAACACGATTGTTCGATTCGTCAAGGATCCATCACCTTGACCCCAGCGCGAAAAACTATCGCGCTGAGAATGAATTCTTCATCGATGCTTTCTTTAGACATCGATGGTATAGTGGGAATCACAAACGTGATGGTCCCTCACTACTTCAGGCGTGGAACGCCTACATCCATAACCTCGAGGATGTAGGTCGTGACGCTTGGAACGACAAACTTATCAAAGCTCGTGATAAGTTTGAAAAGCGAACCCCGACAGGCGCACGCTACAAGCTGCATCGTCTGTCAAGGGAGAAGGGACTACCCTGCCTCTCATGGGGAGACTCGTGCCCATGTTGTGTGAACAACTCTGCACGAGCACCTAAGGAGGCTTACCTCCTTACCAGCCCGTGGTGGCGCGTACGTGTCTCTACTGAGATGTACGAAGGGATTGACAACCTGAAATCCCTTTACGACCGTGCCGGGAAGACTTTCTCCGGCGGTCCTTCTGCGGCACAGGATGTGCCGCGTCGTAATGCTCAACCAGACCCAGTACGTCGATCATCAGTTGGGAGCGGGGCTCTTAAGAATCCCAGGACGGGGGATAGCCGCGCCACCGGACGAGATAACTCGTCCGACGTCCGTTCACGTCGCGGTGGTTCAAAAGCTGCTCAACTAGATAGCGCTGGCCACCGCGAGAGTCCTCTAATGGAGGTGGAGGAGGAGGAAAGACGCTCTCCACACGATCATGGGTATCCGTGAGTCCCCGAGAGATTCTTTGATCGCGTAACGCAAGGGTTACGCGACGATCTCGAACATGAGCGGAATAGGCGTCTCCAAATGGCGGACACTGCCTCGAAGCATCGAGCTGAGTTTGCCTTTGCTCAGCTTGAGAACGAGAGATCTCTGACATCTCTTCGTGACGAGCTAAGGGTAGCTCGTGGGATTGTTGATCGGTCTCGGGATGAGATAGCTGCTCTTCAGACCCTTGTTGATGCCCACCATCGGGAGCACAAGGCTCTCTGCGAGATGCTTGAGCGCAAGGGCGTTCTTCATCGGAAGAAGCAGCGTACTGATGGTACGGCTTAAGCCGACCAACGTAAAACGTGGGATGCGTTCGCATCTTACGTGGCTACTCGATCGTGTATGCATTGCCTAGGCGGTGCAATACACGAAATGGGCCAATGTACTTGGGTAGTAGTTTACTGCTACCCAAGTTAGTCACTACATGCTTCGGTAGATTAACCGTAGACAGTAGGACTAAGTCACCTTTATTAAATAAAAGAGTGTTTGCCCTTCCATTCTTGTCAGCGTTTTGCTTTTGCTTATCCACCGCTTCGGCGATGGAGTCTTGCACAAAACGGACTACCGTTTCACGAGCCAGTATGAACTCATCTGATGACTCGTTAGCTTCAGTGGGCTGTGAGCGCACTGCAGCAACATCAACCTTTTCTTCAGTGAGGGCTTCCGCACTCTCACTGGCATCATCTTCTTCGATATCAATGTTATCGATATCGGCATCAAACGCAATGACTTCTTCGTCAGAGCGTGATGAGCGTGAACCAATTCGGTTTTTGCTCGCGCGAGTCCCTCCCCCCCTTAAATCAGAGTTACACTCTTGTAAGGTGGGTACACGCGGATGGCGCAAGCCATTAACGTAAAACGGTGTATGTGTCGTGGACGCATGCACCGAGTTGTTGATGGCAAACTCTACCATTGGCAAAAACTCACTCCAACTCTTAAAGGAGTGTACGTATCCTCGAAGTATCTCTTCAAGGACACGATTGGCACGTTCCGTCTGACCATCTGACTCTGGATGATCAGATGTTGACATCTTCAAGCGCGTTCCGAGTGATTTGAACACGGAACGCCAGAAATCAGCAGTGAATCGTGGATCTCTGTCTGATACGAGTTCACGGGGCAACCCATGAAGTCGGAAGATGGTGTCAATAAAGACACAAGCACAGCCACTTGTCGTGATTGTCTCTGGTACAGCCACAAGGTGTACAATTTTGCTGAATCTGTCAACAAATACGAGAATACCCGTATTCCCGCGTGCGTCTTTGGGTAACCCGAAGACGAATCCATTGAGATGGATTCCCAGCACTCAGCCGGAACCGGTAGAGGCTGTAAAGGTGCACGCAGTGAAGGACTTGACTTCACTCGTTGGCAGACTTCGCATGCGCGAACATACTTTCGCACAAACTGATACTGGCGGGGCCAGTAAAAGTCTCGACTCACCGTGAGATATGTTTTCTCCCGGCGACTATGTCCTCCTACAGGAGCATCATGATACTCGAACATGATCCGCAAACGCAGATCAGTATCATCTGGAATGACAACACGTGGTGTGTCACCGGTAACGGCTGTATAATACAGTAAACCGTTACGAGCAGTGTATCGATCTGATGCAGATCGATACGCAGACGATAATCGTTTCAACGATTCTCGAGATGGTTGGGAGAGATGTGTCAACAACTTCACTATCTCACCATCTTGGGCGTATGCCCGCCTCACATCATCATACAACGTTGTAGATGGGACTGAGGACATCATAACCGCTACAGTGACTGTCTCACTGTTGGGTTTCGCGACTGTTTCAAAGTCGGGACGACGTGAGAGTGCATCAGCGACGACATTAAGTCGTCCTGGTTTGTACTCGACCGTAAAGTTGTATTCCGCAAAGAATGACAACCACCGCGCCATTCGTTGTGAAAGGTGCGGGCTGTTCACTGCCGTGCGTAATGACGCATGGTCAGTGTAAACAATGAAGGGTCTATCTCCTAATAGATAGACTCTGAACTTCGCGAGTGCATACTTCATGGCAAGGAGTTCCTTGTCATGCACTGGATAGTTCCGCTCATCTGGTTGCAGCTGACGCGACTGATAGCAGACGACGCGTTCAACGCCTTCAAGATCGTACTGCATTAATGCACAGCCGATTGCGAAATCGCTGGCATCACAGACCACATGAAATGGCCTGTCCTGATCGGCTATTGCTAGGACTGGGGATTGTATCAAGCTCTGCTTGATACCCTCAAAGGAGCGCTGACATTCAGCGTTCCATAACCACATCTCGTTCTTTTTCAACAAACGAGAGAGGTGCACAGTCATCTCGGCGTAATTGCGTGAATACTTATGCAAATACGCCGCTAGCCCAAGGAATTTTCGAAGACCTTTGACATCGACCGGCACAGGCCAGTCGGTGATCGCCTTAATCTTTTCGGGATCAGGACGTACACCGTTCTTACCAACGATGCACCCAAGAAGTGGTATTTCGCTTGCTGCAAATATGCACTTCTTGAGGTTTGCATACAATTGATGCTTTCGCATGATTGTAAGAACCTGTCGGACGTGGTACCTGTGAACCTCAACGTCCGACTTTCCATCCATAGCTCGACTATGGATGAATACGTCGTCGAAATAACTCGGCGCGAATTCTCGTACTGGTCTCAACAGATGTGATACACATCTGTTGAACGTGGCAGGGGCATTACTAAGCCCTTGTGGCATTACTAGCCATTCCCAGAGCATGCCGATAGGCGTGCTAACTGCGGTATAGGGTATATCCCGTTCTCGCATAAGGATTTGATAGAAGCCATCCATCAAATCCATGGACGAAAAGATGGTACTCTTTGACATACCATCAATGATTACGTCCTTCCTCGGTATCGGCGTCTGAGCCGGTACCGTTGCAGCATTCAATTTGTTGAACGCGTGCACTATCCGCCACCCTCCTGTTGCTTTTCGCACACAGAAGGTCGGAGAGCTATGTGGGGAAGTTGATTCCCTCACATGGCCCGCAGCTAAACGATCGGCAAAGAACTTGTCGATCGCAAGTACCTGTTCACGAGGCAGTGGCCACTGCTTCATGACACAGTACTTCGAGCCTGGTTTAAGCTCGACCTCGTGTCGAATCCTTCGGTAACTCGCACGGAACAGTGTCAGGGAATACATCCTTGAATTCAACCAAATCTTCATAGAGAGGATTTTTCTTGAGCGATTCCCATGATTGGGAGTCATATCGCTCAATTCGTGTCTTTTCGTCTAGGACACTCTCGTCCATAGATGAACTACTGAGAACTCTCTCGTCCTCAGTGAACACTGTTGCTGACCTTATGTCGGTTACAAACTCGTCGTCAGCGACGAGTACGCAGATCTGCTTGACTTTGCCACTACGCAGATCACGCAAGAACCTTTTATGTTCGAGCGTTGGCAACTGAGTGATCTCCGAAGTTAACTTCGGAGGCGCAATCAGATCAAGTGTATAAGCGCCTACACTTGATCCGTTATTGACTATGACATTCAATGTCTCTGTCAGTTCCTGGGGACTTATTCCCTCAGGCTTCGAAGGACTTATTCCTTCGGCTTCCCGGGGACTTATTCCCGCGGGTTTCGGGGAACTTATTTCCGCCGTATTTGTAATCTTGGGACTTATTCCCTTTAGTTCCTCTAGCTGGGGTTGCGCAACCACAGCGAGATCCTCTACGAAAGACTCTCCAGTCGATCTAGGATTATCGTTTTGCTTAACCTGAGCGATCGATTGTTTCTCTTCTAGATGTTCCCCGCTAGGGATACATCTTAGTCCCAGTCCACCCGACTTATTCGAGTGGTGGACCTTCGGCGCAGCCTGTTTTTCCTCACAGCCGCCGGAACTTTGCTCCGAAGTGTAACCGTTTGGTACACTAAGGTTTTGTGCAGTCGTACTAACGACCGTACCACAAGTGAGGCCATCGCACTCACTCGTAGTACATCCACACGCTTGTGGACGCTCCAAAACGTTCATCAGATGGCCATCTGATGAACAAGCGGCAGGCATCGTTACTGTTCGATGTTGCCAGTTTACTCGTGGTTCGTACCTTCTGAGCCACGGTATTCCAAGGATGACATCAAATTTGTCATCTAAATCCAATACGATAAAGTTATCGTCATATTGGGTATCTTCTAGCGTATAGTGGATCTTCACTATACGCTTCATGACGGTTACGGATGCGCCTGTCGCAAGACGTACCGTCATCCTCGTAGGAGGTGTGTCACATTCACTGAATTTAAAGTGACCATCTTCTAGCGATTGGCGTCGCACAAAATTGTTGGACGCCCCACAATCGACTAGAGCTCGAAGGGACAACTTATTCGTCACTTCGAGTTTCAAGGTAATGAGTGAGACCTCATTACCTAGAGCAGCAACGCACAACGTTTGTGTGTTGGGAGCAACCTTCATCAAGAGGCCTACAAATTCTCTTGACGTTGCTAGACCAGTAGGGTGCTCCGCACCTACTGATCCTGTCCGTTTTTTGACGGTCCATCCCGTTGTTGCGTCTTTGCACCAACTGCGGACCCTCGTCCCTGCCCCTTTCTCATGGGTGGACGGTCACTACGCCCAGTGTCGCGAGACACTGGACGAGGGGCACTACACTCGTAAGCGTAGTGTCCTTTCTTTTGACATCTGTTGCATCTCTGCAACTTCTTGTAGCCTGTAGAGAGAGCCTTCTCGCTCTCTACATAACAGAGTTCCATCGGCTCTGGACCTCCGTTGTCATATCGTCTCGGTTGACGATATGATGTCGAGCTGGCGCGAGCCTGTCTCAGACTGAAGTCTTCCTGTTCCGCAATGGAAATGGCTTGTTCTAGTGAATCTAGTTCAAGCCGGAACAGGTGAGTCTTGATGGGACCATCCGCAAGACCCTGCATGAACACCGAAACCAACGTGTGTTCATCCACCGGATTGGAACTTATACAACTCGTAAGATGTCGTATATGTTGGGCGTAAGCGTGCACATCACGCTTACCCTGTTTGAGCTTCAAGAGTTCGGTTCGAGCCCTGAACTCAGCTCTAGGCGGTTCAAACGTTTGTCTGAGCCGCGACTTGAAGGCTTCCAACGACCCAAACGCATATGGGTCGTGCAACTTGAGCCCCAGTGCCCAAGTCTTGGCACGTCCTGCCAGATTTGACTGGGCAAATGCAACTTGCATATCCCCGTCGTCGATGCGACGCTCCCTTATGGCGTCATCCAATTCGACGAACCATCTCAAGAGGGAGTCCTCTTCGACTCCCCTACACTTGGAGATGTCAATCTTCAAGGTTTCGGGTCGACGCGAGTGCATCGATCCACCAGCAGCAGCCTGCTGCTGTCTCAACAGTTCAAACTGTTGAGCACCCTGTTCTCTCAACAACTCTGCTTGTTGAGAACCTTGTTGGTGAAGCAAGGCTACTTTCTCGCGTTCTGCGTCAAGTTCATTTTGAATGAGCTTGGCGATAGTAGCATGTTGGGCATCTCTATTGAGAGCCTCTAGCATGACGCTAACAGCATGGATGCCCATGGTTGAACCCATCCGATCAACCGCATCCCATTCGACATCGCTCAAATGGGAGTAGCCGTCACGCGTAGCGTGAAAGCTTTGGTCATCTTCATCATCCAACATATTCATGTTGGATGTGAACGCGGTCCTTGGACGGACTACAAAGTGCTACCAGGTGTAACGGGGCACCCTGAAGCTTGTACTGGTGACAGTACAAGCTACTTATTCTGATGACAGAATAAGGCGGTGCCTCGTAACTTCACGTACACTCGTACGTGCAGAGGAAGACGGTAAGAAGAAGCGAGTACTTGGTTAAAGTAAAAAGTAGAACTGTATTTATAATAGTTCATGTCTGCAATAAATCACTATTTATCTTCATCTAACTATGTCTAAATACAAATGTGTAAATCAGTTATCTGCTCACCACTCATTGCGTGCGTCTGTCGTGGCGCGTCTTCGTTGGTTGATTTAATGGCCTATATCAACCAATTAGGAACTACTCGTAAGTGCTAAAGAATATTTGTCCTTATGACAATATTCTGAGAATATAACTCTTATAGTTATATTCTGAGAATATAACTCTTATAGTTATATTCTATTAACAATTTCTTATAAATTGTTATGTAACGATTCACCCCGTTACAACAGTAGTGTTGGTAATGGTGTTGGTTACTCATACCTATGACCATATGTCATGGACGACACTGTGTGATTGTGTGTAACGATGGGATCGGCTCATCGTTTTGTTGCTAATTTTATAGAGTCGATATCGATAGGCTTAGAGTAGTACAACGAGACGAACTAAGGACCTAGCTAGATAATAATTCACTTTCCATTTAACCTTCTTCTAAGCTCTCCCACCTCAACTCGCCCTTGTCTGTTGCCAAAAGATAAAAAGTAGTCTGAGCTAATAGCTCATAGAGTCTGCGCTAGTTCCGTAGAACTCGCCGACTCTTTAACTTGATATATTAGCTCCTCAGAACTAATCGGTTGCTAGCCCTCTCGACTAATAAACTGTTAGCCGTAAGCCTCTGGATTAACTCGTAAAGTTTTCCTTTTTCACTGTCTTTGAGTGTCGGACATTCGCTTGTTAGCCCTCTACCCGCAATCGGTCACGTGTAAGCCAATCATGTGCGGGCATTTGTGCGCGTGTGACTTCATTGTCCACACGGTAATTTTGTGACCTACCCAAAAAGAGTGATGCCTACCTATGAGGAGGGGCAGACTACATTGCACCTGGTACGACGTACATCAAGCGTTATTTTCACAAAGAACACGGACGATCAGAATGTAGGTTTTGAAACGCTCGACATTCACATTATTAGGCTCAGTCACTAAAAGCTTTGTCCCTAGGTTTCGCAACAAATTGTATCAAAATGATTACGGAACACCTTTACGTACTCGTGGCTGGTTTGTCTGAATAAAAGAAACCAGAAAAACTTGCCATTCTTTCTCTAATTCTGGGTATACACGGAAATTTGACCAAACTTGATATGTTCGCAGCAAATCTCAACAAGTCCAGTTGAATTTTGACATTGTAGTGCATGGACCAATTTAAACTCTGCCAAAAACTTCAAAAGAAGGGCGCACGACCGAGTAGCGTTGAATTACATGGTAAAGAATTTATTAATGCTTCATTTGCCTAACTTCAGTCCGTAGGCAGTTCCTAGGTGCGTTTGGGTAATTTGTACGACTTCAGCCTCGCCAGTTTCTGCTGGTTACGTCCCCTTGAGTCATCAGTAAATTATCTCATCGGGCAAACAGCTTGACGTCGAGTAATTCGATGCGCTTGTGCACCGCTACGAGACTTCCACAGCACGTCCTTTCCTAAGTGAACCATGTGTGCTATGGAATAACCATTGGCTTGCCCCCGAAACTGCTGTGTGACAGCGCACTTGCCAAACTGCGGTTGCTGTAGGTATGGCGCAAGTAGGTTTGGAGCAGTCGCTGGTAGTATTCTTCATCAAGTGGAGGCGGTGACGAATCTTTTGCTTTCTTCACCAAAGTCGACTGACGCGGAAGCCAAAAACTGCTCTGTGCTTGACCAGTTGTCGATCTACGGCGTTCCAGTGGCACTTGTGCATGCCGTGTCGTTGTGAAGGCAGGAACGTGCTGGCGGAAACTTTGATTGTGCGTCAGCAAGCTGTTCCCAGACGGATAACGTCCGAGCTGCAACGAGGTAAAATAGTTGGTCGAAGTCGAGCTCAAATCCGCGGAAGTAAAAGATCGCAGCGAGGTTCCCGCATTCGACGACGACATTCCTGAGGTGACAGATGTGGTGCTACCACGGCGAACCTGATAGTGCTCAAGCACTTCTAGCATCATACTTGCAACATCGAGAACCCCACTTTCACCGTTTGGTTCCTCCCGGTCTGCAACTTCCACTGATTGCACGGAGGCTCGTTTCTTAGGTCGAGTACTGACACTCAATCGGTGTTGCTGGTGCTTCTCGGATTCGCGCGACGACAGTGCTGAGATCGAAGAAATCTCTGCTGCTGCCAACAGTCGCTCAGCTTGCTCTGATGCAGCCACTGACTCGTACTGATGCCGTGGGATGGACCCGTCCGTGATTGAAGACGCTGTGATCGTCGGGCGGAAAAAGGTTGGCACGCGTTTACGTTTCTTTGCCAACCGTTTGAGCAAGCGGGCATTTATTGTAGCCACCGAGGGGATAACCTCGCACACGCAAGCGAGGCAAAAGGTCTCTGTGCAGGGCCCGCCGGTAGCACTGATCCCATTTGGATGAGAGTGTGCACAAAAGATCGGCTTGGTCACGCGGCAAGTACGACAGCACGGCTTCCAACACCCGCGGCAGTTTCGCGGAGCATTCCAGATAAACAGCGCTCGAGCACACACGCCACAGCGCTCTCTGGAACTAACGTGGTCACTTGTACCCTGCCTTTGACCCGCAAGAAGAACAGACAAGTTCTTGGCCTGGCCGCTCTGCACTGTATTGGCCATGGACGTGAGCCATTCCGCAATGCAATGGTCTCCCAGGATAGGTGGCAAGCGACCACTTGAATTGAATTGACCATGGGCGAACATGGCAACTCGGTCGTCGGCTAGACGCTTGAACACAATTGCGAGCGAGATAAAGCCTCGTACCACGTCGGTTGACCTGCCACTTTTCATCGAACTCGAGCTACTACTGCACTGCGTCTGATAATGTGGTGGCCACGTGGCTCCTGTGTGAGCACGTGCGCTTACAGCAGACGTGGCGTGGTCATTAGCTAGCGGGTCAATCGAATGCAGCACCAAATAGCCCATTTCTTCGCCCACGTCATCTTTGATGAGATCCATCTTTTTAAAGCAGACAAAGTCACGGTGTCGACAGAGCCCTAGACCCGGGAGTTTCTGGGCCATCCAGACAATGCCCGAGAACTGGAACGGCTTGCTCTCCGTGCTGCTCTTGTCCACGTGAAGCACGCGGGCGTCCAGAGACCGCGGACTCAAGAGCATCTCGAGGACCCTAGCCGTCCTCGTCGAGTCGGCGTACAGTCCATTCATGACGTCGTGGAGCGAGCCATGGACCGTCCCGACAGCCTGCACGGTCGACGTGCGTTCGCGCCGCCTCGTCGCTTTGAGACGGTACACTTGGATATCGCTGCTCTCGCGCAGTAGCTTCCACTGTCGAGCACTGCGGGCGGGGAAGAGCCCGCGACCAGTCACCTGCAGCCCTTCGGGTCGTCCCAAGTCCCTTGCACTCAATGGGTTGCGACTGGCGCGTTGTCGAGAGCGGCGGTCGCGCTCTTGGCACTCGCGCAAGAGCTGCAACGTCGTCTCGAGTTTGGCAGCGCATGCCTGATGGTAGTGGCGCAGTCGTGCGCTGGTGACGTCGCTGGCGAGCGAGTCTCGGGGCGTCGCGAGGCTGTCGTCTGGTTCCATGGTCAACGCCGAGACGAGGCCGTGGCTGGTCGCGAGGCGGTCGACGTCCGCCATTCGAGTCCGTCCGGTTTGCCTCTTGTGAGGCAAATTCAATTGTGAGCGAGGAGGAGGTCAGGACGGACGTTTGGACAGACAGTCGGACGGAAAGGGCAGGCGGATTTAGAGAGATAGACAGACGGACGGACGGACGGACGGACGGACGGCACGTCTCGTTTGACTTGCGTTCTGTATGCGATGCCGCACACCGCGTGAGACCGTGCAGAGTGTATCTTTCTCTTTGGCTCGCGTCCACTTTGACATGTTCTTCGGCATGGACAAGTCCATCGACGTGAGAAGTGAAGTAGGTCCGAGTTGAGGTAGGAGCGGAGAGTGGGCGAGTGCAACTCAGCTTTGTGTTCGTGCGGACTACAGCGATGCCGTCATATATCGGACTTGTATCGCACGTGGCTGCTGCGTGACGTTGAAGCTTGTCGCCGCATGCAGAGTGGATTTCTGCATCGACTATTGCTTGACGGCCATCTCATTTTGGTCGCTCATGGTTTCTTAGTCAGAGAACGTCTCGTACACATCTCGGGTGACAGGATCGCACTGATTCCTAGCGGGAAGGGACATGGTCTGGTCCAGCTGCGTGCGATACGCAGCGGGATGAAAAATCAACGAGCGCCCTCCACCACGTGTTCGACTTCGACGGCGTCTGCAGAGGCCTCTCTCAGCCGGATCTACTAGCAAACGCTGTCACTAGTTACACTCATGATACGAAAACTCACCACCATCGAAAAGAGACTGCTATCAAACGTAATCTCATCACTGCTTGCCGCCAGCATGTGAGAAGTCCAAAGCGGCTCGACCACGGCTTCGAGCAAAAGCGTGGTACGTCGACAGCCCAACGAACTGCAAGTCACTCACGCGCGGCTCTTCTTCCACCATCTTGTCATCAAGAGTTTGGCTCTACCAGCACAAGTGAGCGAAGTCTCCAGTTACATGAGTGAGTGCCCCCAAAATAGACAGTTGCGTCTACTCGTGGCTTGCATGCGGTGCGTGTGGCCACTCTTTATAGCCACCACCCCGTCCGTCGATTGAAAGTGGTCTTCGCGCAAGCAGAGCACCACTATATTGGCAGTTACATATCCAATACGTGAGCTGATTTCTCTGCTCTAGACCAGGTAGAGACACCGAGTGCAATTGCTTCGGGTCGAATTGGCGGGGCTGGCTAAGCGTGTTCATTGAATACTGCTTCGAAACAAAACGGGCGTTACGCCATGCTGCTTCAATACCGAAACTTGAACGACATCAGTCAATGAGGCGACACGACAGTCTACAAACGCCACGTATCAAATGAACATTCATTTCATGTAGGCATGCAGTATAGACTGCGTAGTCGTATCTGTGTGTGTTCTCCACAGTCGATCGTAACTTGCTCAACTAAAGCGAAACTCGACGGCTCATTACCGACGTTTTGTCTCTATTCCTTCAGAGCAACGAGTTTCTCGTCCACTGCGTCAACGTCAAAACAGCCAGCTTGGACTCCTGGGATGTCGCCTGCTGGGCTCGTTCACACTCAATCGATTCCTGTTCTTCCGATCGCGGGATGCAGCAGGACTACCCGCATCACTCGCTCGACGCACTGGCAGCTACGACTGCTGTAAAATGGGCGCCGACTACTTGTTCTTTCTCTGTATCTGGTTGGCCACGTTTGAATACACCGTTCAACGCGACGACTGCCTCGCCACCGCAATTACTGCTAATTGCCACTGGGAATGGCAGAAGCACGTTACACACGCGTGTACCGTCAGAGCAATCTCAACATGCACAATCCACGGACACTCGTTGGTCAGGTCCTATAGCGAGTCAATGCGTTCAACGACCTGCTCGTGCCAGTAGCGACTCATCTAGCGGCATGTACTTGTTACTGGCTTTGATCGGGTCTATCAACCGACTGCTAAAGTGGCTGTAGAACTCTTCACTACTCTGTAGATTCTACACAACCCGGCGCCATGATCTATCAGGATGTACCTAGCATGATTCCTGTCGTATGCCAGATATACCAAGCAAAAAGAGAGCACTTCGGTTTTGCACACTGGCAGCGTATTCTGTATCTACTTGATGACCGTGACAAGACATCAGAAGAGATACACGGTCGTACACGCGGTGGGTATCTGGATCGCAGCAGTGACCAGCATGCCACCATTTTCTAGTCAACGCTGAGTGGACTCTTTCAAAAGTGGTCAAACAACAGATTGGATAGACCAAACAAAAGGCTGTTGTCGGAACTTTCATCAATCAGTGTCAGAAAACCAGCGAAATGAACCCTATCGAGGCGACGGTGTCCTACAGCTCCGGCGCGTACATCATTGGCTTCGTGATTCTGCTGGTGGGGGTGATACTCCCGATGGTATACATGGCGATCCAAAACAAGAAGGCGTTCAAGGCTGTGCGACGAGACTAGAACAGTGAACGCGATGCGAGAAATGTCGGACGTGCGACAGGATCAGGCACACGTGTCGACGCGGACGGGAGCTCAACAACGAGATGCAAGACGAGGTGCCAAATTGACGAAGAGAGAACGTAGTAGTAGTAGCAGCACCAAGTACAGTATGTTTTGGACCGGAACGATGATACAAGGAATGAGAAACTTCCAGTGGCTTCGAGATGAGTGACGCTTGAACGGTGCGTTTTGAGCTTTGGACTGGACACTGCACTCGATTGCACGGTTGGACACTGTGCAACCAGTTGTGTCGTGTTTACACTCTTCGTGCTGTCGGGCAGCTCCGTCTTTGACTAAGACTCCTGTAGAATCCCTTTTCGCTTTATTGGAACCGACTTACCAGCCGATGCATCGCTCGGCACCGACCTGAGGCTTCTGCTCCCTTGTCAATTCATGACGTCTATAGCGCACCAAGATCCTAGTTGTGTCGCTACTAGGTTGCAGTCGTTCTTAAGATCTTTTGCCTACATCGCAATCACCATAAATTTGATTCACGTCCGCCTTCAATCAATCGATGCAAGCACAGATCACATGGACAAGCAGGTGATTGGACTTCTTGCGATCAACATCGTCGACAAGGACGTGCACCGTTATCTCTCGCACGAAGTGCCCTTTGTTAAGCAAAGGATATGAACCGGTCCTTTCGTAGGCTTTTAACGCGTGACACTATTCCAGATGTCTGCGAAGCTCAAGTATTTCCTTCATACTCGTGCTTCTCATACACGTCGACAGCCAGCGCTGCGACGTTGTGCCTACACATTTGTTCGTTGTATAGTCCCTGATCCATGCAAACCGTTGAAAACAAGCATCGAACTGCTTAGAACCAAGACATTCGATGATACGCATCGAGCACATTGCCTCCTCGTCAAATGTGCGCCCGCTCCCTGATAGCATCAAGCGAGTTGTCTGTACCTTCCCTTCCTGCTGCTATCGGTCGGTTCTTGCTGTGCTCGCTAGGATGGTAGACCATCTAAAACATTTGGTACGTGGATACTGCGAAGAGTACATGACGGAAGCAAGCACCGATGGCGGATATGTCAGCAGCATGCTTCTTATTCGATTGGCTTACGTCAGCAGATGATGAAGCTCAAAACGCTTCCACAACTCGTGCACGCTGTCAGTTGCGAAATGTAATAGTAACCTGATTTCCTTTCCTGTGCTCCTCCAAAACGGTGAATATTCTGCATCTTCGTGACGTGATGTTAAAGCACGAAAACAATCAGACTCAATCAGACGGCAAGAGCGCCTGCTTGCTTCCAATACGGTTATCCTTGGACACCAACAGCATATTTGCCCACATGAACACACGAGCGTGATTCCGATTCGGCAGATAGTATGGATTAATCTCTACTGAGCGTTCGTTTGTGTGTTGCTTTGTTTCCACGTGTTCTGTCCCCAGTCTACTGAATAACTTTGCTCTGCTTTTTCAACGACAATCACCATTGCCGCCTGGTCCACGGCATTTATTCTCCGAGACGTGTACCCGGACGCGCCATGGCCGTAAATGTCAGTGTGTTACACTGGATACATACCCCACAACGCACTTTGTACCGCAAACACGAGCTCAGGCGTGCATTCCACTTGTCCACTGATTGAGCTGCAAGGGTCACAAGACGATAGACGGATATACAAGTTGTCTCCACCGATGTGAGTATCGCCTCGAACTCATTGGGGTGGATCCAACGCAACTCGACGGTCGTACCGTACGTCGTTGTACATCCTTTCGCAACATGCTGTACGGGTTCTCCGAGTCTAGTGTGCCATCCTCATGCAACCGCAGCAACTTTGAACAAGTTCTTGTCACGGTGAACGACAAAAGGTACGTTCGCGATTCTTGTCATGTAAATTGCAAGCATCAGGTTAGTCTTTACTATCGGAGAGACCAGGAACGTGATCGCAATTCATTTGAGGAAGTTCCATTAATGCTGTGACTTGGATCGAGCATCAAGTTAGGAAATGAGGCGATCCGAGGTGGAAGGAAAGTAGAGGATGTGTTGCACGAACAACAGTCATCGCTACCTTCTCTTACCTTTTGTGCCCTACAGCGTTCGTCGTCTGAAAGCCCAACGCCACGGCTTTACCTGTACTTGAGGAGTGCACCACAAGCTCCAAAGATCTCACTGAAGCATAAAGATCTTACTGAAGCCGCCGGAATTACGACTGGAGAGCCCCGCTTCACCCGTTCTCAACTGATCTTGAGGCTATGGGAAAATCTGCTCAAAATTTTTTACATTACAGCATTGTTTTTACAAACATGTACGTGGCAACAAGATATAACGCATTCCCGGTGTGTGTCAGGGTCTACACTCTATATCGCTCTTCGACCCAGGTCAATACGAAACAAGGTGTGCCATGGAAACTTTTTTTTTGGGTGCTCGAAGCTGTACACCCTGCAGTGTTACCAATACACCATCTCGATAGCGAGTAAATTGTATTGGTTGTGCAGTGAACGTGTACAGTCTTCATCTACGCCGACGGATACAATGTGGCCCTCATAACTATTGGTTTCAATGGTCACGACACAGTCTGAAATATACTGACTTCTTCTACACTAGTGGAACATAATTATCGCTGAGGGAATCTCTCGACTAAGTAATCTACTGAGCGCAACTGCATCTAATAATCATAGCCGTTCAGTTTTTCATGGTGTCTTCGATAGCGTAATTACACGAACGGTACGACTTTATCAATGCAAAGCAATAATGCACAGGCCCCTTCACTGTGGGGACAATATGCACCTTACCGTCACAATGGGTGCAGACAAGTCGGATCAGCAGCAGTCCAAATCCTTACTTTGTGTTCCTTAGACCTTACTCATTGTCTCGCCTATCGTTGAATTTATCGCACTAAACTACGGTCGAAGCAGCATCTAAGTAACAGGACTCATACACACTGCTCAACTTGCACTAACATGTCTCCTTACATCAGCGCTTGTCGTCATTACTGCCTTCTCCATCCAAGCGTTACCAAACTAAACTAATGCTACAGTCGTTACTGCTTTGTTTCATCAGCTCAAGACTGTTATGCGCTACTGGTAGCATGCTAAGAGTGAAGTATCGGCTGCACTCATCGACTTTCTGCTGCACCTCACTTGTCAAGAAGGGCATTGCGGACGTCAGCGTCGTTGCTTGTGAATTTAAAAGCTTTGGAGTTCACGCAGTCGGAGAACCAAACAAGTGTGGCAATGAAGACGCACGATATAGCTTGATGTCTTTGGACGCTTCTGCCACGCTCAAACAAGCCAGGTTGGAAGCAGCTCGGTATAGTACAGCTTGTACTTCTCCCCCTTCAAAACCTTGCGCACACACCAAGTCGTTAAACATTGGATAGGTCGAAGATGAAAACTTCATCCTGTCGCCGGTTAGATGAAGAGAGCGTATTGTCGAGAGCACCACGAAACAGAACAAGTATTCCCAGCAAAAAAAAGCACCTTTTCCAATGTAGGAATAGCACTACTAATATGGTGCGCGTCAGCACTGAGTAAACGATTCTCATCATGGAGTTTATTACGTGAAAAAGTATGATTTATACCCTTTTGTACGAAAAAAACTTACAACAGCTAAGAACTCTCGAGAGTACCTCACGCGTGCATGCTTTGTCTGCCAAGCCGTGACAAAAAACGCCAAAAGGCGGTATCACACGTCACTTTTAGATGTTTTATTCGATTACGTCGGTCGTTCAGGTGAGCTACTCTAGATGATCGAAACGTCCAGACACCAAGCACTACGTGTTTTTGTTACTGTAGTTACCAGCTACGCAAGCGATAGATGCGCTCCTTCGCCTCGATGGAGAAGTAGCGAACACCTGATTGGTTTGAGGCCGAAGTGCTGCAATATGCGATGGGGTTTGTCACCTCAGTCTTACTTGGCGACAAAGACGTTGTTGCATTTATACCAGCTGCTTGCCATCACGCGCGTCATATTTATAAGATTAAAAAGTAGTCTAAAGAAAGTGAGTGATTCTGGAGGCAGTTTTGAGCGTTTGCCTCAGCGACATCTCTTTCGTCCCTTTTGATTGATGCCTTGCTTAAACTGGGTCAATTACACATGCGTCCTGTTGAATTCACTTACAGAACTATCACATCAAAAAGCAGTTCTTAATTCGAAATAGTCGCTGAGATATTTAGACAACATGGGGTGAACTTTGCTTTTGGCCTGGAGCGTAATAGCTATTGATTCGACGATTACATAAAAGATAGATACTAGTCAGGAATATTACCTTAAATGGTGAAGTTTTAAAGCATTTGCCCATCGGATGATATAGGCCAATATGTCAGTCACCTCGGCGGTCGAATCAATGATGGACGCGCGGTGAGCAAGACTTCTCTATGCGTTTTTGCAGATAAATGTAATCAAGCTAGCACTAACTTGATTATGTTTATCTACAATAATGCATAGATGTATTATGGGACAACGATTAGGACTTAATTTAGGTCAATGATATTTAGTCCCTAAAACTTTTACAATTTTTGCCCCCTTGAAACCAAGCAGGCTTGTCTTCTAGTTTATTAGTAAAGCGCGCTGTATAAGGTCACACGCCGTGTGAACGCCAATCTACGTGTTGTCCAGAAGGTGTATCGACACTCATGTTTAAAGTTGATCATTTTAGAGATCCATCTCCAGTGACTAAAGACGTGCTCGTCATCAGCTTCCCTACGAAATGGAAGCTGATGACGAGTACGTCTCTAGTCACTGGAGATGGATGCTGGAGAAAAAGAAGGCTGCGAGCAACAACAGCGCGAGCTAGATCACGATCTAAACTCAAGCGGCGGCCTACTGATGTGCAGAACAGTCTTCTCCTTCCTTCGAAGGTTACAAAATGTGCTCTTTATAGTGCAGTGAGGGAACTCGCGGACGAAACGTGCCGCATGTTGGAAAATGGTCTTGCCGCTTACTCCACGAGCGGGGGAAAGCTGAAGTAAAACAAGAAACGCAAAAAAGCCTTGAGTGCTTCAATACGAGCCTACAACACAGTTCTAGGATAACGATTCTAAGACAGCAAATGTGAACAAGCCAAAATTTGATCGAGCAGTAGGACCCGCACGTATGCTTCCGTTTCGTTTTGCTTTCTTCGTTTTCCGTGTATATAACAATGCAGATAATGACACATACACCACGAAACCCCGCGAGACATCGCAGTGCTTACTTTTTACTGCGCGTGCGCCCTAAGCCAATTCGACGGTATCGTTTGATCACACGCCACGATCATTTTTTCTCCATGAAGTCGGACCTGAAGGTTAAAAGTGAAAAATGAAGGCGCGCTCTCAATCGAAGAGCAATGAACAGTTCCAAACCAAAAGAGTGAGTCAACTGTTCCCATGTCTTACACTCTTCCACTAACTTCGTGAACCCTTTGATGACAAGAATATGCTTGCAACTCTTGCGGACCTTTCGCATTACAATTTGGAGTTTGTCCTTAACGGCGCAAACCAGTTTCTGATTGTAATTGTACAAGAAAGGCGTTCGCGTGACGTTTGTGTCGAAATCCACCGAACGAAGTGCTGTCGGCAGTGGTCTCTCATTCGGTCGATGTATGCTATAAACTAGAAACATAGACTCAGCTTGCAACCCTAAGCAACCGGAGGCAGGGGGCAAGTGCATGAGTGACGCGCGCAACAGTACGACTCATCGTGTCACAAAGACCCCTCGGTGTGGTCTCTAATCTCCACTACTCACTATCATGAAAAGAAGCAAATGCGTGTCCTCCAAGTCGTTGGTAACTTCAATCAAGCAGTTACAATTTCCGATGCAACGGAGCTGAATGTGTAGATGTAGTGCTGTCAAGCATGTGCACAGATCCACCGGCATGAAATTACTGACGATAAAATAATGTGTGTAGTGCAGTGCGAGCTATACGCCGGAACCAAAGAGAATACGTGTTAGCTACCACGCACTGGAGAATCAGGCAGAGCTTGGCGGCAGCGCAAGTTGTCCAACGATATAACACGGAAAATGATCCCACTTTTCTCTATCTAGGTTGGAACTCGAATATAAAACTGGCAACTATCTGTAGATCGGGACAAGGAGATAGCTGAAGAGTATAAATGTCTGAACAAGATAAGGGTACGTGCATGACAAAGTCGGCTCTTCGTTACGTTCGCTCTCCGTTGGTGGCGCATGTATGATGCGATAGCCGTGCAACTTCCGCAACGACAAACGGCATCGCGTTGTGCCATCGGACGCCGAACTCAGACCGAGTTTTCAATGTGAGCGACTTGTGAAGAAGCAAACGAGTAAGGCGAAGTTGACGTGAACCAAACACACGGTAACGTCAACGTCCACCACCCAAGTGCGACTATCGAAACCTCGACTCAGCGTCCGACACGAAAGCTCGCGGCCAAGAGCGTACCTTTCTGTAACCAGGAACCCAGCTTTCAGGGATGCATGCCTAATTCTGGTTTACAAGCTAAACAAAACTGTCGCGACATCCAGAACCTCATGTGCGTCAAGGTGATGACTATATTGCCTGCACAATCTGAGTCTTGGTATGTCAACTACCAATGGCTTGTCGGGGTCCGAGAGTGCGCTATTACCCGGACTCTCTCCATTTTCCAATTCGCACGCTTCCCTGGCGACACCTTCAACCCAAAGACTGTTTGTGCTTCTGTAATGATCTCGTCACCTCCAGCTCTTGCGCTTCTGGTCGCAGCTCTTGCACGGTATGCTTTTGAAATCCCAGCCCAGCAAGTAGGAACCAATACGAAGGAGGTGCATCCACCTCTCATCTCTTCTCGTTGCTCCAAGACAAACGGGTGCGTACCTGAGGCCACATCCATTGTATTGGATGCCAACTGGCGCTGGCTGCACCAAGTCGGCGACTCCAAAAGCTGCTACTCTGGGAATCAGTGGGACCCCACGCTATGCTCGAGTCCAAAAGCGTGCGCCCAAAACTGTGCTCTCGAAGGTGCAGGTTATCAAGGTACCTACGGCATTACCACGTCCGGCGAGGAGCTAAAGCTTAATCTAGTCACTCGAGACCAGTACGGAACGAACGTGGGCTCGCGTGTCTATCTCTTGGATGCTGAGGGCTCCAAGTATAAGCAGTTCAAGTTGCTGAATCAGGAGTTTACACTCGACCTAGACGTCTCGAACCTTCCCTGCGGCCTAAACGGTGCGCTCTACTTTGTGCAGATGGACACCGACGGAGGAAGCAGTCGGTTTCCATCCAACCAGGCAGGCGCAAGCTATGGTACAGGCTACTGCGATGCACAGTGTCCGCATGACATCAAGTTCATCAACGGCGAGGCCAACTCGCTTGAATGGGGGCTAGCTACCAGTCAAAACGAAGGTGGTGGCAAGTATGGAGCCTGCTGCGCGGAGCTGGACATTTGGGAGGCCAACAGCATGAGCAACGCTTTCACGTCCCACCCGTGCTTGTCGGAAGGACTTTTGCGCTGCTCAAGCCCCGAGGAGTGCGGCAGTGGCGAGGGCCATCGATATAAGGGTGTCTGTGACAAGGACGGGTGTGACTTTAATCCCTTCCGAATGGGGAATACGACATTCTACGGTCCTGGTCCTCACTTTACGATCGATACTACGCGGACGTTCACGATCGTTACGCAATTCATCACGAGTGACGGCACCGCGACAGGGGATCTCGTCGAGATCCGACGGTTGTTCAAGCAGGACGATCGCATTGTGGCGATGCCACAGAGCAACTGGTCCAACCTGGACAACGTCAACTCGATCACCGACTCGATGTGTGACAACTCCAAGGCCTTTTTCAACGATCCGAATGATCACGCTGCAAAGGGTGGTCTCCTACGCATGGGGAAGCAACTGGCAAACGGGATGACGCTCGTCATGAGCTTGTGGTCCGACCATGCTGCCTACTGTCTCTGGCTAGATAGCAGCTTCCCTGCAGAAGCAGATTCGACGAGGCCTGGCGTCAAGCGAGGCTCCTGTCCAACATCTGGTGGTCGGCCTGCTGAGGTTGAGTTCCAGCACCCGGATGCCAATGTCAAGTTCATGAACATCCGCGTGGGAGACATTGGCTCGACGTACTAGAGTGGCCCCTATTAAGCGGGTGAAGAAGCTCGTCAATAAAACACATAGCAGAGCCTACCTATCGTCTATTGTTCATGCTTCTGTGAGTTATTTCGGTTGACTCCTGACTATTTTTGAACACGACATGTCGATATCTGAAACCCTTCCGTCGGTATCCTGTGAAGCCATTTCAGCCTATCATTGACGTATCTGTTGAGACTCAAGGCTCTTGCGATCGTTGCAAGTGGACGAGACCTCCACGCTTTTGGTTTCGTTGCCTCTCATTAGTTATATCATCTGCATTGACGCAGAGGCGCGCCAGTAGTACACAGCTGGAGTTACTTCACAGGTGACGACGACGACGACGACTTCCGTGACGATGACATGTCAGTCGAAAATATCGAACGTCAGCGGTTACGCCGTCGGATTGGACAGCATGTCGACCAGCTGGCTGCATAACAACCAATCAGAGTGTATGCCACGCTCTCGCGGTCAATGTCGGAACGACCGCCCGACCGAGCGATCTGCTTACCTCGACTTAACTATGCAATCGCCTCCCCTCCTGACATCACACGCTGGCCGTCCGGCGTCACTCGACCGACGGTCTGCACCATAGCCCTAGCCGCATCCCAGCATACAAACACCAAGTGTAGCTGTCCCATCGGCCGATGACATCAACGGTGCTCCGCCAAAGTACGTCAGTCAGTCAGTCCATCACTCTGTCTATGCGTCCGTCGCTCTTTTTTCCCATCGAAAACCCGCCGACCGTCCTCCTAGTCCGTCCTCCCAGTCGTCCCAATACTGAAACGAAACCTAAAACTACGACCACTTCCACCACCACCACAAGAACTCCTACTCCCCGCGCCAGAACTAAATAAAAATAAAAAATAAAATAAAAACCCAAGAACTCGCTCGTGTTCCAGCAGTCTTGCGTTCCCCCTCATCAGTCATCCCTCTCCCCCCGCTCTCGCTCCCATGCCAGCTCCTCGCCAGTCACTTTACGATTTGCCCTCGTGACCCCATTGCTGACCCATTGCCGGCCCATTGCCGCTCCATTGCCGTCCGTCGTCATGATGTCTTTCAAGCAGTTCAAGCAAGAGGCCAACTGGTTCATGGTCTACTACCTCTCGATCGTCCACGTCGGCGCTCTCGAAGGCGTCCGCCGCCTCTTCCTCTGCAAGTGGGAGACGTTCCCGCTCTTGGTCGTGCTCTACTACCTCACGGGCCTCGGCATCACCATGGGCGCGCACCGCCTCTGGGCCCACCGGAGCTACAAGGCGCACAGCAGTCTGCGCTTCGCCCTCATGCTGTGCAACTGCATGGCCAACCAGGGCACGATCTTCCACTGGAGCCGCGACCACCGCGTGCACCACAAGTACTCGGACACGGGCGCGGACCCGCACGACTCGAACCGCGGCTTCTTCTTCTCGCACATGGGCTGGCTCCTCGTCCAGAAGGACGCGCGGGTGCGCGAAGCCGGCACGAAGCTCAACTACACCGACCTCTGGGCCGACTGGACCGTCGTCATGCAGGAGAAGCTCAACCCGTACGGCAACCTCTTCATGTGCTTTGGGCTGCCCACGCTCCTGGGCGTCCACGTCGTCGGAGAAGACTGGCGTCACGCGCTCTTTGTCCTGGGCTTCCTCCGCTACGTCCTCGTGCTGCACGCGACGTGGCTCGTGAACAGCGCCGCGCACTTTTACGGCGCGCAGCCGTACGACGCGAGGCCCCCGCGCGAGAACGGCTTCGTCTCGTTCTGGGCCATGGGCGAAGGCTGGCACAACTGGCACCACAAGTTCCCGTACGACTACGCGACGAGCGAGTTCGGTGTCACGGCGCAGTTCAACCCGACGAAGCTCACGATCGACTTGATGGCGGCGCTCGGGCTCGTCTCGGATCGCAAGCGCGCGACGGACATTTGGACCAAGATCCAGCACTCGAAGGCCCAGGGGGACAAGGTCGTCCACCAGGACCCGGACGGAGACGACGTGGCGCAGGCGTTTTCGGAACTTAAGGCCAAGGCCAATTAATTGCGTGCAGTGTCGTGCTTGATGTGTTGTGAGCTGGAGACGTTCTCTCGATCTCTCGATCTCTCTGGGTAGGAGGATTGTTGTTGTTGTTGTGTTTGTGGTGGAGCAGTCTAGAGTGCGTTCTTACAGTGGGGGATGATGGTGGCCGCTGATCGATGGGTGAAAGGGTCGGTCTGCTGTGCTGGAGGGGACCAACGAGGTGAGCCAGATTGAACAAAGGTAGAAGGCGATGTGCCAGCTCGAGTCGGAGCAAATTGGCTCAGTGTGCACGAGTCTCGTGCTATCTACGTGGCGGTGATACTTACCATTGGTGATTCACGGCATTAGACTGCTGCTCAACACAACAACTCGAGACTCGATGGATGGAAACCAGAGCATTGCATTGAAGTCGGGATCGCTATGAACGAGGTTCACGCAAGTGCCTCACCTACAGCCACCGCCTCGAATGACATGCGGTCGTATCGTGAGAGAAACCTACGCGCTGTCCTCGCCCTGGAACTGGTAAGTCACGTGGCACTTGCCGCAGTAGTGCCGGTCGAAGTGAGTGGCCATGAACACGCCAGCACCACACTGAGGCGCCGGGCATTCCTTCTTCAGACGCTGGATCTTTCCATTGTCGTCCACCTTGTAGTACTTGAGCACGCCGAGTTTCACCTTCTTGTGCTTGTGTTTGATCTTCTTGGGCTTCGTGTACACTTTTTTCTTGCGCTTCTTGCCACCGCCACGCAGACGAAGCACCAGGTGCAGCGTCGACTCCTTCTGGATGTTGTAGTCCGACAGCGTGCGACCGTCCTCTAGCTGCTTGCCAGCGAAAATGAGACGCTGCTGGTCAGGCGGAATCCCTGCAACAAAGTACAGCAGCGTGAGGTCAAGCACCAGACAAATGGAGACACCGCTAGCACTACGACATACCTTCCTTGTCCTGAATTTTCTGCTTGACATTGTCAATGCTGTCCGACGGCTCCACGTCCAGCGTGATGGTCTTGCCCGTAAGGGTCTTGACGAAAATCTGCATTTTCTGCAGTCAGCATGGTCCGCATTAGTCCCAGATACAGGGGAATCCTACCACGTCGGTTCATCACCACACTGGAGAAAGAGTGAAGAGGGAGCAATGTTTAAGTGCGAAACATCGTCTGACAAGGCTATAGATCAACGTCCTGGTACATCCGTTCTTTTATGATGCTGGGAACTGATTGTTTAGCCTCTCCATCTCTTTCTCCTTCCTCTTATACCAGGGCAAGTTGATGACAGAACCGACGTGGCTTCTAACCATGCAGTCACACATATACCTACGGAACAGGTACCGCTGAGAGATCACTAGGCAAGACCCTCTCAGCACCCTATCCGATCCTAGATACACGCAGGACGCGGTCAATTTCTTGCAAGCGACGACTGGGGGCAATGTTCAAGAAGGGTCTGCTCTCGTTAAGAGCAAAGTTCCGTCCCAAACAATGCGTCGCTTGGTCAAAGGAGCATTGCCACCGTCAGATGCGAAAGAGTATCAGGGATCGGGTCCGTAGGTCGTACGTAGTGGTTATAAACACTTGCAAAAGCAGCTACAGACAGACACTCAAACATACCGTCAGGTGGTCTCCGAATCCAAACTGATACCACTTGGAGCTGCTCAGTGGAAGAACTCGTCGCAGCCACTCGATTTTTCAGACCGTTTCAGATAAGGTGTCAAACAAGCGATATGATTGGTGAAAAAGAAATACAAAACGACAACCTGATTGAACGAAAGGAGAAATAGTGGATGCGGGAAGACCTCTGTCGTGGAATAATGCTCGTTATAACGACATGATGGTTGGTGGCTGACCGTTTTTGACCGTTTCGTGAGAAAGCACGACTTGTGAAAGTTTATACCGAAACGACGCCGAGAAGCGTTGCGGCTGGCAGTTGTCGCTTGCTTGCTTGCTTCTTGACTGCCCGCGACTCCCTCGCCCATATTTATCGCAGGTCCCGGCGTTTCAAATACGCTCTCATGACGTGGTGAATGGCGTGCCGGCGAAACGACACATGGGCGCTCGTAAAATTGAGCTCGTCCTTGGATATCGGACACTTGCGCTGGTTTTTCGTGGCTTCAGTACGTCTACGGAATAACGACGCAAACATGTACAGAGAGAAAAGCAGTAGCTGTGAAGACGATGGCGAGTTAGTATTGCCGTGTCACGTGCGACGCTTGTGACAATGTGGCATGATAGTGGTAGCATAGGGCGAGCTCTGACTCAATCGCTGACTGTGATGGAGCTGCAACCGTTTGTGGTACAATGCGCGAGAGTCTGTACAGAACGACGTAGCTAGGTATCTGCACATTGTGGTTTGCCTGCATGATAGGTTTGCTCATGCAGCAACACGATATGCATGGTCCGCCATGCTTCGTTTTGACAATTGTGGCTTCAATATCTTGAAACGAAGCGAGGCGGGGCCAAAGAATGTCATCATGGTAGGTGTGATCTGAAATGTTGATCCGCCGATCATGGCAAGTCGTCGTATCATGAAAGTTCGAGGTTGGCTCGGACTTGCGGTGTCGGGTGAGCAGTGGCAGCGCAACGAAGAGCTTGGGATGCGGATGCGGTGTGGTGAGATTCTTCTGGTCGGTGGCGTCAGCATGACGCTGCAGTCAAGTGTGGCATAGAATATCTTCATCCTTTACGAGCAAGTAGCGTCAGATCGCTACTTGCTCGTAAAGGATGAAGAGAGAACAGGGATACGATCGCGAGTCTTGTCGCAAGTGATCCCCAACATCGTCTGGACATTTGTGTTTATTTTGGTTGCACACGGAAGTGCCACCGTAACCAAGTCTTACAAATCAATGAATCCGTAGGCTTGCTGCTGTCATCTAAAACGCTGCACCTCATCCACGGACTTGATGTATGCAGATGTCATCCAGTAAAGCACAAGTACCGTCCCCTCGCTGGTCACCGCGTCGTCATGCATGCTTTGAGAGTTACAATTCCACACACTGTTAGACACAGCGCAAAAACTATGCACGAAGTTAACGCAGGCGTGTATCTTACAGCTAAGGTCTGATAAGATGTTCAGAGCGAAGGCTCTACGACAGCCACGACGCTGCTTAGAGTCCGTTTAAGTCACAAATAGCATTCCCAAAGTAGCAAACTCGATGGAGAGTGAGGGAGAACCGAGCGATCGTCTTTGTGTAGAGGATGAGAAGACGGGAGAAGGTACGTTTGGATACTGCACGAGTGGCCGATGTTGATCAACCAACTTGTCTACTAGTTGTATGGCGTGGATGCATTTCTCTTAGCTTACAATATTGGTTGTGCACCATCACTCAGAAGATCTTTGTGCCACGAAAACGATGCTCGAGTGGAGCAGGACTCGACTTATTGGTAGTTGGTATCTGTAGCGATAGACGCTTGTCCTTTCCGAAGAAGGGTATAGCACGCGCTTGTGATATCAGTAAATGCGCGTGACCGCTCATGGACAAAGCTATGCGAGGCACAGCTTGTAGGTCGCGCCCAGGCTGACAAAAGCGTGATATCCGCAATGTCGATCTCGTTCTGTCTACGTACTACATGGAGGAGTTTCATGATCGTCTATTGACATGTTAGCAAGAGCAAGATGTCTGAAAGGTCCTGAGCCAGGATGCAAGTGATGGTAAAGGCACCTCATTGTGGTGAGTTCCGGATGCTGTTCACTGCCGTGTAGGTTCGTGGCTAACAGATTCAATACAAGCGTGTAAACGCGCCCCGTTGACCATGTGTTCCGCCGACTTGTGTTCTCGTAATGCAACCGCCTGCAGCTGCCGCAGACTTCAGTCCCAGAATGTCAGCGTGATCCTTAATGGAGTAGTCACTTCTTTGCGGAATACTACTGCGTTTCGCTCCGTCCACAGATGCACTTGGCAAGAAGAGCTAAGGGTAAACCAGATGCGCCGAAAAGTGCCCTCGGCTTCAAGAAAGCCATCTTGAAAACGATTCTGCAAACACATGCGCAGACGTTGTGACACCGGTGGTTCCTGACGATCGGCGCAATACCGAAAGTGGCTCGACAGCCCGAACCTTCTCACTCCCTCCCCAGTCCAACAGCGTATTCATTGCCCTTAACAAGCTTGTGCAGTCGGGCAGTCCCTGAAAATATGAACCGCCGTCTCTTTCAAACCCTTGCACCGCTCGAGTTTTCTGCATGTCGACGCACTACATCTTTCTAAAGGCCGTACAACTGTCTCATCGGACATGACAAAACACGTATCAACATCGACTTTGTTTTATCCGTCGAGGAAGACCGTCATCGGGTCCAGGTCTGAGACTACTTGGATTTGTCATTAGCTACATTAACCTATTGCTAGTATTGTTCGGAGCGATGGCAAACTCCATTCTTGAATGCTTAGTCGGTTACTGTGAATCTTTTTAGGACCCGAGGTGACACGACAAGCCAGCAACAGCTGCTTGTTGTATTACTTGACATGCATGACATCTGTGCTCGAATCTCAGAGCTGCCGCTGCTGTACGCAATCCACCGAATATGAACTTCTCGATCTTGGATTAGCATGCAACAACAGTATCACAGTCAAGCCCTCCTCTCTATCGATGCAATAGCGCTATCCTGATCCATACGTGACCTCGTCCTTTGCCAACAGGTCCACTGTTCACTAATTTATTTGGAAGCACAGTCGGTAGAGTCTCAGTTCATGGAGAAGGACGTACTATGGTGTAAAAAGATAATCTTTCGGTAACTACTGCTTGCACAGGCAGAAGCATGACAGAGCGAAATCATTAGCAACCTGCAAATCCTGCAAGTTCTTCACCTACAGCAATAGATCAAGAGAAGCTGCAGATTAGTTGAATTTCTGCGGTCATGAAGCGCGGCGGATCTTTCATAGCACACTAGCATTATCGCGAGCTTGAAAGGGGAGAAATTAGTGAGTGTGCGCAAGGTTGAATGCCAAGCTTCTAAATCGTACTTATCGGTGCGTCTGTCTGTGAACAACGCGGTTAGGAGTACGATATCCGTACTAAGTGCGATCTAGCCTATCCCCTAGGTCGATCAGCATGATAGGTGTCACTCTATGGCTAAGTCACTATTGTGATGCACGCACCCGATAGACTTGGAATCATTATAATAAATGTGATCACACAAGCGAATGCCAGACTCTCACAAGCACAGGCCGATCGCGTTGCCCTACCATAATGTGCTGGGTTAATGGAGACATTGACCGCGTTATGCTCCTTCTTTCGTGTCTGCTGCTGTTGTATAGCGTTTAGCAGCTTGATTCAGATCTATGAACTGGACAACGTATATCAACAGCGAGCTCCCGAGCTTGCTCCCCTATCTCATATACTTGAACGAACGTCAGGCTGATCGAAAGCACTCTCGATCCGACTATTGCTCGGGCTCTTCTCTTACAATCAACTTCTTTTGCTGACTTTCAAGGACGTCACATAGCTCCATGCTTACATCTATCGTTACATGTTCTTAAAGCGACAGATCTCCAAACCTTCATCTGCTTCGAGGTGAACATGCTCTAATGGACTAAAACTGCTTCGATAATTTCTATCTGTGCTGTCCATCTAGCCTCCAGTAATCATCAAGCAACTTTCTTCGTCGTTGTCGTCGACGAACTTCATGCACATCAAAATGCGTCTGGATGAGTATTTATGCATGGAAGAAGGTTCCCGTGATTATCAGCTTGAACGTGCGTGTACAACGAAGGTTTTAGGCTGAAATCTAGATTGCTGGTTGTAATTGACGAGCATCTGTGGCCTGGCCAGCCCATGCTTCATGTAAACCAGCAAGTATCGTACAAGTGCGTGCTGTCCAACCTGCTTTTATCAAGAGAGAGAATTTGCCTACGTTTCACCGCACGAGCCACTTGCCGCCTGTTCCTTCCTCCCCGTCGTTCGGCTGTTGCAACTGACGCACCAAGTCGAGGTACTCGCTCGAACTTGCACTTGCAAGCACTTTGTTGCTACCCGCAAGGTGCTTCACTTCCTCTGCTTTTCTCTTCTTTGCTGCAAGTGCCATCCGCTCTTCCAGCGACACGAGCTTGGCCGGTGCAGATTCTCGAGCTTCGACAGCTTGACTTCGGCACTTGGCCAGAGCTTCCTCCCGCTTTTGGCGCAGATCATCCTTGTGATCACCACCTGCTTCACGGTACGCAGCTCCGTATTTGCGCTCGGCAGATTCAGAGTCCCACGCACGGAGCGCGTCCAACGTCGGTGTCTTGACTTGAGTCTGCAGTGGAAGTGGCAGCTCGTAGACACTCCGTCCTATTGCCATATTGAAGTAATACGTCCGCTACAAAAGGAACAAGTTCTCGACCGCATCGTTTAGGTGAACAGGTTTGATATCTAGATTTAGAACCGAGACAGAAGAAAGGGGTCCAGCACTTTAGGAGCATGTTACGGTCGTACCCCGTTGCTCGGATCCACGTGTTGTGTCCAGAAGCCCGTCTTCTTGGACGGCTCCATTCGAATAGCTATTGGCTCGCTCGCTCACTTTTTTGTCGACGAGCAAATGCGAACTTATCCGCCTCGTGGTTTTGGGGTGACATATTTCAGATAGTACGACCACGAGGCGCACTTAGCGTCCACTATCCGGATAGTGCCGATACGGTTAGGGGGGAACTGCGAACTGCGAACAGCGCTCGTAAGCCTCCCATTCGGCAGCGCTATTCGAAAACTGGGCCTTTCAAATGCCGTACCAAGTGCTGCCAGGCCTCGCGGTCATTTCCATCGCCTTCTCGCTCATGGGCGTGGGCTTTGGCGCTGTCAACAAGTGGCAGGCCCGTAATAATATGCAGGTGCGTTCCTCTGTCTCGTACTCGCGTCCCTCCCATCTCCCATCTCCCTTCTTTGTATAACAAGTGCTTTTTTCGTTCCACCTGTGTGGACATTCAGAGCAAACTGGAGCTGCTGACGGACTGGGACCGCATGATGGACGAGCGGGACCGGAAACTAGCAGCAAAAGCTGCTGCAGCCAATGCAGAGAAGTAACGGAACGGCGCGCGTCTCTAGTGAGCTGCTGTCACCGCCCACTGGACGGTGGAGGCGAGGAAATGCATAAGAACAGGGAAACAACACGCAGTGCGTGGTGACGTTCGAGGCTCAAAGCGTTTGGTGCAATTGATTGTTGTTGGACTTGGAACTTGATCTGAGTATGATCGAGACGTGATGAAGCCAGCAGGCTCGACTACGAGTCTCTTTAGACGCACACGATACAATATGGACGTACGTGCTCATTTGGATGTGCGTGCTGCTCAGCGTTTCTGACCTAGTTACCAAGGAATCCGAGCACTGCCGGGGTCACAACTCGACTACTTATCGAGCACTCCTCCTCGACCTCTCCCGCACACAGACATCTCCTACGTGTATCGCTGCCACGCAAAAAAGCCCAAGACCTCCCGAGGAAAACACTAATATTAGGCAGGTAGTGCTGCGCGCCATGATCCATCGTCTATCGTCTCTGCTTGCCTGCTTCCTCCTTCATTACTCCACTCGCACTTTTACCCTTCTCGACATCAGGTGCTGCTTACTCCACGGCACCCCCAGGACAATTCCGGGCCCAGTGGCCATTCTCCCCACACTGATAGCACTTGTCCTCACTCGGGCCACTGTCTTCCGGACAGTCCCGACGGAGGTGACCGCCCTGGCCGCAATGGTGACACTTGCGCGACTCGCGCAGCTCCTGTGGACAATCCCGACGGAGGTGGCCTGCCTCTCCACAGTTGTGGCACTTGGGTGGCTGCACGTCCTCCGGGCAGTCCCGACGCAAGTGACCGGCCTGGCCACAGTTGTGACACGCACGGCCATTGGTGATGGTCGGGCAGTCCCGTTTCAAGTGGCCTACTTGGCCACAGCCAAAACAGGGCGCACCACTGGGGTAGCCACTGAAACCGCCCTCGGAGGACGGCGCTTCAGGGCAATCACGACGGAGGTGGCCCGTCTGGCTGCAGTTGTGGCACTTGCGTTGATTCGTCGTCGTCTCCATTTCAGTGGCGTGTCTACAGTCGAAGCAACAGGAAGCAGAAACCCAGCACACCCCGAGAAGCAGAACAAAAGGTCCGGTAACCCACGTCAGTCACGTTGATAATTGGTCCCTTGACCATTGACCGCCGCATATTGATTGGCACGTACGTTCTCACTCTGGATCTTCCTCGAAACTGCTGCCACTCAACGGGTACGACTTGCTCGACTAGGCCGAAAGATTGCCTGGTGGGAGTGCCCTCGAGGTTTTTCGCGTAAAACCTTGAGATCCAAAGGGTGTGCCGGGCGAGGCGATGTCGTGTGTTTCCACTCGTCGCCCCGTTGTTCGCGTCTCATGAGAGTATACTCAACCCAAGTGACTTGGACGGCGCCGAGCCCGGACGAACAGGACGAAGCCGTACGGACCCATCGACAGTGAGGTCGACACATCGAAGTTGAAACTGGATACTGGATAGTGACCACGTATCGATAGATGCTGTCTTGTCAGCGATGAGGGAGCGATGTACGCTTGCAACAGCGAGACGTTACCGCCAACGACATAGTCGATGTAAAGCAAGTGGCATCAGTTCGACGCTGCCGAGCTCGAGCGGGTCATCCCTCCGCCGTGTCGCCACCATCAACAGATGTCGGGTTCGCTTTCTGACCAATCAACACACTGATCGCTCGCACTTCAACTTGTTGCGCAACAAATGGGATCCCATCGAAACAAAACAGGACCAGGAGATCCACGAGCGCCTGGATCCTCCACCCAGTCCTTGCTCGGTCCACAGACTAGTTCAAACCAAGGCAGAGCTGCAACTCGGACGCTGGGAGCGACGGGGTCCTCTGCTCAAGAAATGGTGCGTACTTTGCTGCAACGACTCTTGGCCACGGATTTGCTGTCGCTGTACCTGCTCTTGTTTCCAAGTCGGTCGTGTGTTCTGCTTCAACAAGTCGTAGCCATGTCGCCTTTGCATGAAGAGACTCAGTGGACGTTGAGAGATGGGTCACGTGTTGGGTCGAGCAATCCATCACGTCAGAGAGCTTATAAACGAGTGGGACACGAGGCGTTCGACTCGCCAAAGTCCTCCTGGTGTCACCCGTAGCAGCAAAGTGCATCACATACTCCAGTCGTTGGTTCGTGAGGAGTTGTGAAGCGTGGCACGGAAGCCTCAGGTCTTCCAGCATAATTTTTCTGGAACTCAAGCTGGCCACCGTTCGAGTAATTATCGAGACACTGTATTCTTCGTCAGGCTGCATCATTTGTCAACGCCATGGCCGATGAAGCCGAACACGCTGCTGGTGTGTGGGTGACATTCACGGGCGTGTTGTGTGACGAGGCGACAGGTGTAGGCAACGAGGGTCGGTCGAACGACTTGCTGACGTGGCGAAAGGGTGACAACACACCTCAAACAAACTCAGGCGCTTGTCGTCGTCGTCATTTTTCTGCTCTGGACAGGTACGCGCCAAGCGATACTGTTCGGTCAATCATCGGATGTCGCTTGACGCATGCACTGTGAGAGAGGTGTGACACCTTGCTAGCAGCTTGAGCACAATGTCATTGCAGCATCGAATAGCTCAGAACGGGGAGAAATGAACGCGAGCCATGCTTGCGTTGACTCCCACAGTAGGCGGCAGACGCGATTCAGTCGCATAACGCTGATCTCTACTGCAATTCGAGCAGGTCACTTGCACCGTCATTTCAAGTGTTCCACTCACGTACGTGTAATCCAGAAACGTTCTGTCAGCCAAGCAGTCGTGGCGAGCAGCTAAGTCCGAAGTGCGGATCGCATTAGGCTACCCAGAACCTTGTCAGATCCATTAGTACCTGTTGATGCCCGCTTGGCTTCAATTGTAACGCGAGCAGAGCTACTGCTCGTATCACATTGTTCCATGAGAGAGATGAAATTCTGCTGCACCTACCGCTGAATGCAATCATGTCGTCGATCGTATCGGGAGGTACTAGCAAGAAAAGAGTCCTTACGTCCTCGATCACTCCATGGTCCTGTGTACGGAGCTCGTTGTGCGACTCCCAAGTGAGACAGGAGCAGCTGTGACACTGATTGAAAGCCAGACCGGCAGACTTACGCCAGCACCAAAGTCGATCAGAATCGATTGCACTTGGCAAGATGCCTCTTAGTGCCAGCAGACCGTTCAATCACCGACTTCCAGCAGGTACGTCCGATGAATCTGTCAAGCAACGTCATATCGTCGCCCTCTACTTGACAGCAGCATACACTGCAGCGGGCTTGGCTTACTGCTGCACAGCAGGCTTGCACGTGGACCTTCTACTCGATGCCTGGCACCCAGATCGTCGAGCACGTCAGGCAAATGACTCGAAGCTGGTTGAGTCACAGTGCCTCGTGAGTGTCAGGAACCGGTCGATGGTCCACTTTAGTACTCGAACATTCTGCAGCCCAGAGGCATCTTGACGTTGACGGCTGCATAGAGGCAGCATATCTCGATTGGCTCAGTGCCATTGCTGCAACGAAGACAAGTACCATATACGATGGTAAGCAATTGGTTTACGACCTTTGTGAGGAGCAAGACGGTCCGTCATTCAGACTTGGTGCCGGGTTAGGTGGCGTACCTGCGTCCTCATTTTGGATATAGGGCTACGGTATAGACAAGACAAGTACAAATGAGAAAGAGAGTCCTTGGTAGCACGAGTTTGCAGCATGCCGACGGCGAGCGAAGTGAACCGCCGTCGGATACGCCGTCGGAATATTTCGGTGTATACCGGTATTTAGTCTGGAGCACGATTTTTTAGCGTCGAATGTGCGGTCAGTCGATCGAGCGATAAGTTTGTTTAAATCGTGTTATGTCGATAAAGTGATGATGCGTGTTTTTATGTTTAAACAAGCTGTTAGTCACGGTTTCGATGAGCTGTAAAGCCTGTTTAGGTATCCTATATTTTGTGTTTTTTAAACAAATTATCCAATTATGTAAATCCAAAGGTCAAGCAGATCCATGCGATAAATTAATTCAAACAAATACGTCTGAATCAACAATCTAATCATTGAATGCATTTCGATGTCCTGATTGCTTCCAGATTATCCTTCATTTTTTGCTTCGATAAAAAGACATTCAAATATTGTACAACGATGCAAGACACTGTTTTGGAGTTTGAGCTTGGCTGTGGTATCGGAAATCAGAAATCATAGATTTTGAAAATTAGAATTCATAAATTATCGGACACTACCACTTCCTATGTTTCCCTGTCCAATACTTTCTTACTTATCGTTCGAGGATCGCGGCCGATGAGTCGCGCTTGGATCCGTCCGTATCCAATCCCGTGTCTCCTGCGAAAAGTTTGCCCAACATGAGGTTCGGACACGCTACCCACACCGCGAGGACAAAACACGTATTCCTCCGCCACACGCAGTGACACTTTCGATTCCTTTATCGGCAAACACCGCAGTGAGATGTTGATGCGGGTGCAGTTTAAGATTTTGTAAGAAACAACGAGCTCAGCCTTATGGTTTTTGATGGTTAGTGGCTAGGAATGTAAACTAGTAATGTGTTTGTTGGAGCTCTCAAGTCGCAGCTAACGTGCTACCTTTGCATTCGTACACCGCATTCATTACTCATGTAGTTCGCAGAGTATGGTGTGCGACTCTAGCCTCAAACTCTACCGTAGACCATGGAGAAGATGTACGTGGAGGGCGACATATCCATGTCGAAGGTTTAATCTGGTCTTCATTCACTACCATAATCGTAATCAGTTAAGCCTCACTCAAAGGCCGTGGTTGGAATCGAATCGTTCTCAATTTTCGCGACCTACTTACATACAGCCCAGCCGAAGTTTACTTCACCTTGTTTTCCGTTCTAAGGTACTAAAGCAAATCATGAAAACCAGCTTTTCCTAAAATGATGATTGCCATGGGTTAGTCAGCGGTGTACATACCTAGATTATTCGGGACAGGTTCTGCAGTAGGCTTACAGAGTGGATTGCGATACATCGCATATGTTACCTCGTACGTCACCGCACATGTGCCATTGTGCACGGGTCTCCAACACATCGTACATTTGGTCTTTTGCAAACTATCGCATAGCCGCGAGCGTCTGCACTACGTCTTGTCTGTCCATCTTCATAGAAAGCTTTTCGCCAAACGAGGCCGAACGAGACCTACAACATAACGCTGCTTTACGAAGTGCCTACAACTGATATCGAAATTGTTCATCGTGCGCTCAGTTTATTGATACTACGCAGCGCACTATGCAACGCCAGTATGCACCTCGTCAGCGTATGTTTGCTCTCATCTACTGTTTTTGTTGTCTAGTTATTGGATCTATGGCGAATAATGTGGTAAACGCCGGTGCGACAACCAGTCATGGGTAGTCAAGCTTATGCTCGAGTGCACATCATGGTAAGCAAAAACGACAAGGGCAACACCAAGGACTGTGGGCAAGGCAAGAAAGACATGTGACGAAGCTGAACTGACGACCCGTTGATAGACGAAGCAATTTGTCAAATCCCTTCATTTGTTCTCGCTAGTGATGGCAACGCGTCACACGTGGTGTTCGATGGCTGCAATGTCAAGCGCGTCGTCACAGAAACGGGAAACTCGTCGGCCAACTATTATTGACCAATTGCTGCTCAGTCGCTCCTTCGCTTGACCCGCCAGCAATGGAACTGCAATCACGTGGCGGCAGTGCGTGACGCGCCGACGTATCGCACTGAGTCCCACAACATCAGTGGCCCGGCTACCCGCATACGCCCTTGAAGTTGATTGGGTCGTGGCTGTGGCAGCGACCATTGACCAATCCCGTCACAGTACGGCGTACGCGCTATGCACCACTCCAAAATTCCATAAAGTTGCTTCGCGCTGCAGGGGTAGGTGTGCACACTCGCTCGCTCCACTTTGGCAGGATTGGTCAACGCGGTCATTGCCTTTTGACCAATCCCCGCCGTCCCATGGCCAAATCTTCGATCGTGACGACGTTTCGTACTAAAGCGAGACACGAAAACGGACAAAAAAAGACGCGCGAGAGCTTTGATCGTTCGTTTGCCCAGCCGCAGCAGCAGCTCACAATTCAATTTACCACGTCAGCAGCACGTTGATCAGTCGATCGATTCCAAAGCATCGCCATGTTCGCCTCTGCTCTGCGCGCCAGCCTCCGCGTCCAGCGCGCCCGGGTCCCGCTCCTGTCGCCGTCGTCGTCTTTTGCCCTGCGCCGTTTCGCCAACGCAAGCGCCGCCTCGCTCGACCTGGTGAAGTTTGGCGTCACGAATGCCAAGACGCAGGTGCACCACAACTTGAGCTACGAGGAGATTGCGGCCCACGAGGAGAAGAACGGGGAAGGGGAGTTTGTGCAGAACGGCACGTACACGATCGACACGGGCAAGTTCACGGGCCGGTCGCCAAAGGACAAGTACATTGTGGACCAGAAGCCGTCGACGGACAACATCTGGTGGGGCGAGATCAATCGACCCGTGAGCGCCGAGGTGTTTGACGCACTGTACGAGACGGTGACCAAGCACTACAGTGCGGCAGACAAGGTGTACGTCTTTGACGGCTACGCTGGCGCCCACGCGGCGTCGCGCAAGAAAGTGCGCTTTCTCACAGAGTTGGCGTGGCAGCATCACTTTGTGACGAACATGTTTCTGCGTCCGCAGACGAGGGACGAGATTGAGGCGTTTGAGCCGGATTTTACCATTGTGAACGCCTGTCGCGTGACGAATCAGGACTATAAGCAGCACGGCTTGAACTCGGAGGTGTTTGTCGCGTTTAATATTGAAAAGGACGTGGCTGTCATTGGGGGCACGTGGTACGGCGGCGAGATGAAGAAGGGGATCTTTTCCATGATGAACTACTGGCTACCGCTGGACGGTATCATGGCCATGCACTGCTCGGCCAATATGGGCAAGAATGGCGACACTGCGCTGTTCTTTGGTCTATCGGGCACGGGCAAGACGACGCTGTCGGCTGACCCCCATCGGTACCTCATCGGGGACGACGAGCACGGATGGGACGATGAAGGCATTTTTAATTTCGAGGGCGGATGCTACGCAAAGACGATCAATCTGAGTCGTGAGAACGAGCCGGACATTTACAATGCGATTAAGCGCGACGCTTTGCTCGAGAACACGTTCGTTGATGCTGAGACCAAGGAGCCAGACTTTTACAACACGTCTAAGACTGAGAACGGCCGAGTGTCGTACCCCATCTACCACATTCCGAACCATGAACCGACCTCGAGTGGCGGTCACCCGTCTAATGTTGTCTTCCTGACGTGTGATGCCTATGGCGTCTTGCCGCCCGTGTCCAAGCTGAGTGACGGCCAGGCGATGTACCACTTCCTGTCCGGTTACACGGCCAAGGTTGCGGGTACGGAACGTGGGGTGACGGAACCCACTGCGACGTTCAGCGCTTGTTTTGGTGCTGCCTTCCTGCCTCTTCACCCGACCAAGTACGCCGATTTGCTGCAGAAGAAGCTGCAGAAACACCAAACCGATGTTTATCTTGTCAACACGGGCTGGACGAGCGGAAGCTACGGCGTCGGCAAGCGTATGAGCATCAAGGATACGCGTGCATGTATTGACGCCATCCTGGATGGCTCCATTAAGAAATCGGAGTTTGCGGAAGACCCCAACTTTGGTTTCCAGGTGCCGAAGAAACTCGGCGAGATTTCCGAGAGCGTACTGAACCCGCGCGAAGCTTGGAGCGACAAGGCCGCCTATGACGCTGCAGCCAAGAAGCTGGCGGGTATGTTCAAGGACAACTTCAAGAAGTACGTGTCGGCAGGCGTCACAGATTACTCCAAGTTCGGCCCTAAGGTGTAAGTTAGTATCGAATAGACGGTAAAAGCATAGTGCAGCGGCAAATACAGCTTGAAGCTGTCATCCTCTCTTGTTTCGTGCTCGGAAGTGAGCTCTTGAGATGTTCCCAATGTCTCATTCTGCTCGCTAGAGTGCGGCATATTGAAAGCCTTTGGTGGTAAACGTAAAGAAAAAAGGTCATGGTTGTTGCAACAAGCACTCGTTCGAGTTGTCTTGATTTACAGTAATGTTGACAACGGAGCAGGTCATGCTGGACAAGCAGTACTTCAGACTGATATCCAGGATATCGCTACTGGGTAGGGAAGTTCTGAAGTGGCAGAAGGATCGGGATACATCGTGTTGCGTATTGACTGTACACTGCGTGATGCACGTACATTCCAATCCACTACGCATCCGTTGCAGCCGCCTCCTCTCCAGCTCTTCCAGCAGTAGCTAGCTCACCCACTTGGTTGACTCCAAGAGCTCGTTCAAGAATACCCATCGACTCGCACTCGCGTCGTTTCGGTGGCTTTGGATTGTCATGAATGCTCTCAATATGGTGCTTCAATACCGTCTTGTAGCCAAATCGAGCCGTGCAGCCCTCGCGTGGACACGCAAAGCGCTTCGACTTGCGCGGATCATGAGCTGCATTGTAGTGTGCCATCAGATTCGACGAGCGCGTATATGCCTTGTCACAACCGTCGATTGGACATGTGTACAGTTTACGGTCGTCCAGCGACTCAAAGTGCGTGCGCAGGTGGGCACGCAAAGACTGTTTCCGACTGAAGGTCTGGTCGCACACGAGACACACATGGCCAGGAGCTTCCTTCTTCACAACTTCACCATGCTCGTCAACGTCTTTCTCCTGTCGGTGCTCTGCTTCCTTATGCTTCTCCAGCTCTTGCTGGTCAAAACATAGTTCTCCACACTCACACACGAACACTTGCGTGTCTGCACTTCGATTCACGTCGTGCTTCCTCTGGTGCCGTGTCAGCCAGAACCGCTTCAGAAACCGTTCGCCACAGTGTCCACACTCGAAAGGCAGCACCCCCGTGTGCACATACGAATGGGCTTGAAGCTCGCTCTTCTTCTTGAACCCCTTTCGACACGCAGCGCACTCGAACGGCAGGTTCACGTTCCAATGCGACCGCTTCACGTGCCGCGTAAGGCCGTGGTTGTACGTGAATCGAGCCTGGCACAGCTCGCACTTGAACGGTTTACGCTCTTCCAGAGCTTGCGTCTTGCCACGGACGTGCACCGTCTCCACGTGACGCGTCAGATGCTCGCGCTTGGAGTAGCGCTTACTGCATCCTTCGTACGCACAGCCAAAGGAGAGGTGTCGGACTTCTCGACTGTGCGCAACCAATTCAGTTGCAAACTTGAACTCGTGACCACATTCGACGCATTGGACGCTGCGGTTTTGAGGGTTGGTAGCCACTTCTTGCAACGGGGAGCTCGTGTCTGTCATTGCGGTTTTAGTCAAGTCCATGGACGCATAATCATGATTATTAGTATGGCGTAAAGTATTGGGAATGCAAAGACCGAGAACTGTTGATTCATTTGGACGCTTTCGCTTCCGATATGGTGATTTGGAGACGGATGGGGGCAGGACATCCATTCGACGAATTTTACTGGCAGGTGTACGTCGGGTATAGAGGGATGGGTGTGTATACTTCGACACTTTGGCTCGCTGTGTTTTTTTGTTTTTTTTTCTCTTCCTTTTGTAGAGGGCAAAGTAGTGTCGTTTTTGTGGGATAGTAATCCGTCTTATTTTGTGCAACGTGGGCAGTCAATTTGAGAGTCTCGACGATCAATTATGAGATGGTATTGAGTGGAGTCAAACGATCGATTGTGTGACCATTGGACAAAAAATAGAGCAATTGCTCCAGGCAGCGATTTCACAGGAACGATCGACACATTTGACTTTCATTGATTCTCTGTCCGCTCTTGCATCCTCCAGTTCACAATTGTATAGTTATTGTGCTTTTGAGTCGTGCTCTGCGATCCTCTTTATAGTTATTGTGCTTTTGAGTCGTGCTCTGCGATCCTCTTTATAGTTATTGTGCTTTTGAGACGTGCTCTGCGATTCTCTATGCTTAGGGCAGACCGGTTGTAGTGTATTTGGTGGGGCAAATGAGCAAGACCAATTCCACATTGAGATGTCAAATGATGGGCGACAGCTCGCTTCCACCAGGCTATAGAAACTGTTACCTGAGGCTCGTACGCTCCTCTCAGCCTCATAGGGCTCCTGCTTCTTCAACAGGGCTTTGCTTAAGCGCAAAGAGTCAGCACCCGATTTTCTACGTGGAGAAATATTTGGATCTATTCACCATAGCCCAGACTAGCTATATGCACAGTAGAAATGCAGAACACTTGCGTGTCTGTTCTGATCTTGCAGCACGCAAAGGTTGATTCAATCTGTGCAAAAAGGTCGGATATATCAGGAGATTGCTGATCAAGTGCGTGACCACCATGGGGTCCCAAGCAGCGATTTAAACGCAGGGGATGCCACTCCGATGAGTAGTGCGCTTTCGGCAGACTACTGCACTTGCACTCGTCCTACTAGTAGCTAAAAAAGACCTGAAATTATTGACCACGACAATGACGACCCTAGTATCACAATGCTTCTTCGTTAAGGGTGTTCGTACGCAAGAGTTCTGATGGAAGGGGATGCGAGGATGCAATGAGTGCGAGATGTTTATGATGTGTCGTTGGTGCTGCTCCAACTGGCGCATGCTAAGCTAGAAAACGAGCGAAACCGATAGGCAGGTCTGACTAACGCATTATGAGTATGGTTGTGACTGCTGATTACCAGATTGTGCTGGCCCGAGTCGTGGAGTGCAAGGTGCGTGTTGTCGATGTGCACGTACATGTTTCGCGTTGTGTTGATTGACTTGTGGTGTTCCCGTAGACTACAGTATCAATGGAATCATTGAAAATTCGAGTACTATGTTGCGAGACGAATCTCAAGTTCTCAACTTGATCTTGACCATCCGGCTTGACCCACAGAAGTCATGCCCTTCGTACTTATACCAGCAATTTAATCAGAAAATGCAAAGCATATCGGACAACAATAGTGCGTCGTCCAATGTAGAATGGATGTTTGACGGTTCAGATCGAAACACCACAAAATACCCGAAGTGAAGGATTGTCGACTCTTTTGAATCAGCTAGACATGCAGATATGATGTACTGGCCATAGCTTGTTCGCAACGATGATAGAGCTTCGGCTGGACCGACAACTCCAGCCAAAGTATCCCTCACATTCGATCAGCTCACGACTAGGGGATCCACACCGTCCATTGGGTTGCTCATCGATTACGTACCCATCATCGACGCAATTTACAGATTCCATATACTCCATATACTTACGTGTTATTATTGAGTACGATGCCGCCGACGGTGTTTGCAAGCGTCTCTGCTACATTCAAAATTTGCCATCATCTCTCCCGACCCACCCTCTGACGCAAATAGGCGCAAGTGTCTGTAAAGTCCAGGAAGTTAGTACCACACGTTTACATCACAGTCATGCTAAACAAAACTGTCCGTCCAACTATCACCGTCCACATGTGTGTGTACCACACCCACCCACCCAAACTCCCACACACCGATCGAGCCACCCCTGGGTCTTTTGCCGCTCGACACCCGCTCCAAATACAAGTCCGCTCTCAATAATCTCCCTCGTCGTCGTCGTCCTCCTCGCTCACTCGCTAATAATCATCAAACGTCTCATGTCGTCGACGTCAAAAGACCCGAGCGCTCGACTCAATGGCATTTTCCAAGACGCGTCCGGCTCGGGTGGAGGCAACGATGCACTGCGGTACACAGCACCTCGAGAGCCTTCCCAGCACCACCACCAGCAGCAACAGCAGCAGCAGCAACAAGCCGCTGCACCAGCCGCCGCTTCGACCGCTTCCTCGGTCGTGTACTCGACAATGGTCTCGCTCTATCAATACAACACGACGACACGCACGTACGTCCAGCAAGGAGGGGCGACCGCTAACACAAAAGCCGCTGTTGGCTGTGTCATTGTAGGCAGCAACACCTCGTACAATCTGCTGTTTTATAACGCCGGGAAGCAGCACTTGTGTGCCGTTCCCCTCACGCTCGCGACGTTTCAGCCGACGTTGCAAGCCAAGAGCTACGTGAACTTTTACGACGAGAAAGCGGTGAATTGGTCCGTTAAGTTTGCAAGCGATGACCAAGTGGCGGCGTTCATGCGTCAGGTTTTCCTTGCCAAGATTCACGTGGAGATCTGGGGCACGGACAAGACCGTGACCAAGACGAACCCGAGGGCACTGATTCCAGATGATTTGGTGTTTGTCACGCCCGAAGCTCAACCAGTGAGCAACGGGGACACTGTTGCTGTCGCGTTTCGGGCGTGGCGAGTGGTGGGGAATGCCAGCTCGGCGCCAGGGGATGTCGTCACGAAGTACGCACCTTTTGAAAAAGCAGGCGAGCACGAGTTGCGCAAAATTCGACTTGGAGACAGCAACGAACGGATCAAAGCGTTGGAAGAGAGCATTGTGGGTATGAAAAAGGGCGGCAAGCGGATGGTGTTGGTCCCACCGGGGAGAACAAACGGACAGGATTGGTATCTGCTCGAGATTGAGCTGGTGAAAACCAAGACAGGACATAGTGCTACTCAAAAGAAAGCTGTATCGGCGGGTGACACCAGCGTTGCAACTGACGATGCACCGGATGTATCTTCGGGTCGAAAGGCTCCACGACGACGTTCCAGTCCAAGCTCTGCCAGTAAAACTGCTGCTGCTGCAGCGACGTCGACGAGTCCAAACTTGACACGTCATCCACATGGTCGAAATGATAATGCGGGAAATGGCGACCTTGTGCCGTATGATGAAGACAGCACCGCTGCTAAACGCGATATGGAGCTCAAGGAGCTTCGTTTGCTTCAACGCGAGCAACAGTTGGAGCTACAGATGCGAGCGCTCGAACGTGATCGGATGGGTGCTGCTGGAGGTAGCAGTGGCTTCGGATCCATGGGCTACGGTTTGGGTGGCGGTTTTCAAAGCAACTTTTTAGGCTCTTCTACACTATTTGATGGTAACCCGCGGGGTGGGATGCGCCCCGTCGACACGGCGCTATCGGAACTAAACGCCAAAGTGGACTACCTCATTCGCATGGCACCAGGCACGTCATCTAACGCAGGGTATGGTGTAGGTGCAGGTCCGAGTGATGTTGCCGCGGTGCTTCGTGGTGTGGAGAGACTAGCTGGCGAAAACGATCGACTCTTGACTCAGATTAATTCGCAACACCAGCAGCAGTCATCGTACGAGAAGCGTTGTGAGGAGCTTCTGGAGCAAAATCGGCGTCTTCAAGAAGAGAAGCGTATGCTGCAGGATCGTTTTCAATCTGCTGCAAGCTCGCAGCTGAATGCCACTTCCGAGCTCGCATCTCTTGCTAGTGCACGGGATGCTGCAGTTACGCAGACGAGCCGTTTGCATGCTGAGTATCAGCAGTTATTGGCGGCTTACTATCAGCTCCAGCAGCGACAAGGGTCCAGCAACGAGACTGAGGAACATAAGCAAGCTTTGAGTTTTGAACGCGAAGCCCGCTCGCGAGTTGAAAAGGAGCTAGCCAAGGAAACACAGGCCCGATCGTTGGCAGAGCAGGAGCTAGCACTCGCGAAGAAGCAGCACGATGTGACTTTGCAAGTGAAAGCTTCAGAGCTGTCCACTGCGACTGGTCAACTCGAGCAGCAGGTACGCTCGCTTCAGGCGCAACTGCAGAAAGCAAATGACGACATGGTGCGACTGCGAGCTTATGCGGAGGAGCAGACGCAACATTTGGCAGCACAGAGCGAAACAAAGGAACGAGACACGAAAGAGCAGTTGGAAAAGGCCGTGCTGCAGGTTGCTCAGCTGCAGCAAGAAAACAGCGTCATGCTTGGTAGGATGGACATATCGTCAGCACGCATAGATGAGCTGGAGACGGAACTAGCGTCCAAGGTCGCACCTTCAGATGAGAACGTCACGGCAGATGGCGTCCTGGCGGCTGAAGAGAAGCGCCTTTTTGTTGAGCAGATCGAACTGTTGCACCAACGGATTCGAGATCTGGAGCAGGAGAAGTTTGAGCAAATGCAGGAGGCATTGTCATCCGGGCGCTTATCAGCTTCTGGCTCTAGCTATCAAGGACTTCGTAAGGGTGTTGAAGGCGAGTGCGAGAATTGGGAGGCTGTGAAGGAGCGCGAGCAGGCAGCAGAGCGTGCTTTAGCCACTGCGGAGGCGATCAAGTGCGAGGCGCGAGAAATGCTAGCTGTGGCCGCGCATACTGGTGGAATTGCAGAGGAGCGTGAGAAATTGATGGCTCTCTTCAAAGAGTCTGTGAACGAAATGTTTTTCCGATTCCAGGATTTGTTCGAAGAGGAGACAGCTGTGGATGGCAAACAAGTGCTCACGGCCATTCGAAAGGTGCTGAAGTCTAGCACGAAGAGCATCATGCAGCAACTGCTAGAACCTCCCCGTCTGCAGATTGACGTCAAGAACGACGGCAACATGAGCGATGGTCCGCCAGCACCTCCACAGCAGAACACCGGCACCTTGGGCACTGGCGCAGCTACCGATGGATTTGTCGAGACTAGTGATGAATTTGTCGAGACTGCTGATGCAGATGAGGTCGTTTTGGCTTCTACTGAGGACGAATCGCTTGATGTCGCCGAGAGGAAGTCGTCTGTCACCGCCACTGCTGATGCTGATGCAGATGCCGAGGTGCCACGCACGTCCGGACCTGAAGCGAAAACAGACACGGTCGATGGCACACCAGCCGTTCTGTCCCCTGACGCTGCTCCTGCGGGGCCGTAACCGTTGAACAACGATGGTCAAAAAGAACTGATGCCAGTACTTGTGGTGCATCACCCGAACGAGCAAACGGGGCAGCAAGACGATTGGAGGTTTGCTGGCAGCTCGAAACCACTTGAATTCGTCTACAGCGCTGGATTGAAAAAAAGCAGTGCTGATTCATTGTCCAGGCCGCTCGAGCGGCGCTAGAAAGCGGAATTTCTCGGCTTGGAGCGGTTCATTTGGCAATTTTCAACTTGGCAGTTGACATTTTTTTGTGCGAAAAAAAAACAAGACGACGGCAGGAGGAACGATGGCGGCTGGAAGCAGTGCTGCGACCACGACGAAGGCTCCTGTGCGAATGAGCAAGTTGTTTTCGCACATGCTTGGTGACTGTCCACTCGATGTAACCCACGTTGGCCGTTGTGGCCGCGTCCTTGTTCTTTTGACACTGCCAAGCGCTTTTTTTACACTTGTTTTCAATGACGACTAAACCAACCAGCAAAAATGTGTTTTTTTTCTTCTCGATCTGCCTGCCGCGACTAGATCCAAGCATACGGCAACTGCGTCGCCGACGTCCACGGCCGCGTAGCCCGTCAGACGTGCGAGAAGGAGTTCCAGAAGCTTCGTGCGTGCTTCGAGCGCGCGCTGCACAAACGCCGCACGTAGATCGAGGATGACCGCCCGCTCATCAATCGGAACTAGCTGTGTGTGATGGATGCACTTTTTGTATCTAGCTCTTTTTGTTTGCTCTTTTTTTTGTTTCCTTCCCTTTCACCACGTATTGGACGATCCCCACGCGAGTGAAACTTGATATTTCGTCGGACCAAGTCACTCGCTCTCACCCTCTCGTTCTTCATATTACGATCACGAGTGGCAACTTTAGCAAGTACATTTCGCACCAGCAAGCAAGCGATGGATGGGGGTGCCCCATGGACCAAGTCCCGCGGCTTCCCAGGCCACTCCTTGCCGCCCCATGGTCGCCCACGCGTCACCACGACCGCCATGACGTGTGCTCCTGCTCCTCCGCTAAGTAGCAGCCGCAAAAGCGACCGCGACCGCGCCACCGAGACGCTGGCAGCCGCCGCCGCCACCTGTTGCGCGTCCCGCTCCAGAGTTTATCCTCAAGAGCGTCTACGTCTCGAGCAGGAAGTCGCCGCTTTGGACCAATTGGAGCAGCGGATCGAGAGCGAGAACACGACGGACTTCCGACTTGGTCGGGCGCTGCTGCTGGCCACGCGGCAGGAACGAGTGGTCAAGGCCCAGTCCGCGCTCAAGCGACGACGAGCAGCAGCTCATCACGTCTGGACGTACGCGAGTGGCCAGGCGCGGGAGGTGTACGCGCGTCGCTGCGGAGAGCTCCAGCGAGCGATGAACGCGGACATTGAGCGGGAACTGCGGCGGCTCCAGACGGCCAAGGACGGCGTGAGTGTCACGAGTCGTCGACGACGAGCAGTGCAGGACGATGGACGGCGAAGCGGGGCCGCAGTGGTGCGTGCAAAGAGTGGACTTGGTGTGCGGAGACGACGGACCATGTACACGAGCGAGGAAGACGAGGAAGACGAGCGACAGGAGAAGGCGTTGTGGGAAGCGACGTCTTGTGAGGAACAGACGTATCGAGCTCAATTGCAGGAGAAGAAGCAGCTCGAGCGGCTGTTGAGCAGCGCTGCAGTGTTTCAACCTGTGGTGAAGCACGTGACAGCGAAAGAAGTGGCCGAGGATCTGGAGCTGATTCAGAGCGCCATTGCGAGGCAGCGAGAGCAGGTGGAGATGAAAGGCGGGACGAAACAAGCGAAGAAGAGGCAATTGCATCATGTGAAGAAGACGAAAGAGGTGGAGAAGAAGAAGACGAAACCACCGCGACGGATGACTGGGACGCCCAGGGATGGACGACACGCTTTAAGACTGGACTCACCTGCGTCCGTGACAACGGGACACAGGAAAAAAGTGAACACAACAGCGACGTGTCGACGATCTCGACTGCACTATAACCCGAGCATGCTGCAGGAGGGACAGGAAGTGGACGTGTTGAAACGTCGGCATGCAAAAGAGGCAGCTGATAGTGGCGGGCGCGAAAGCCAAGACGAATGCGTCCTGTCCGGCACTATCACTGCAGCTACGGCGACACAGGTGTATGTGCTCACAGCCAGTGGTCGCTTTGAGTCATTTGATGTCCGCGACTGCGTACGGGGCACGCTCTATGTGCGGGCAGCTGAGAAGCGCAAGAGCTTGAGCTACAGCGTGAAGGAAGAACTGGACGCTGGCAGTGCGTTGGAATACATAAGCCGATGAAAATGAATGCACGACAGCTGCTCCACACAGCAGCAGGAGCAGCAACCGGATACAGCAGCGCAAAGTTCAAAAACGACAACGTCTATTAGGCGAGGGTATCTCTCTCACTCGCCTGTCATCTCTCTATCATGGTCTGGATTTGCTCCTGCTGTGAGCTCTGCTTTACACCGGCGAGCGAATGATCTCCTGACCACCCATGTATGGCCTGAGCACCTCTGGGATGACGATGGAGCCATCTTCCTGCTGATAAGTTTCCCACAGACTAATGAGCAGGCGAGGGACCGCACATGCAGTGCCGTTGAGCGTGTGCACAAAGGCTGTTTTGGCCTTCTTGTCTTTCAAGTCTTTGTGGCGAATATTCAGACGACGGGCTTGAAAGTCCGTGCACATGGATATGCTGGACACCTCGCCGTACTCCTGACGACCAGGCATCCAAGCCAGCACGTCAAACTTGCGGTACGCTGGCGCCCCGAGATCTTCAGTAGCCATGTCTCGGAGCTCAAAGTGGAGACCCAACTCAGTGTACATGCTCACTTGGATGTCCACCATCTCGTCAAAGAACGTCTGCGCTTGAGTCTCGTTGGCACAGAAGCCAAACATCTCGACTTTGCTGAACTGGTGGATGCGATAGATGCCGCGCGTCTGCCGACCTCCATGCCCAATTTCCGTCCGGAAGCAGTGACTGAAGCCCGCGTACTTGAGCGGCAACGTACGCGAGTCCATCACCTCGTTGCTCTTCATCGCTGCGAGCGTAATCTCGGACGTCCCCGTGAGACACAAGTCCGAGTCCGCCAGTGCGTAAATCTGCGTCGCGTCACCACGCGGCTGGTACCCGCAGCCTTCCACCAGTTGATAGTGCGCCACGTCCGGCGGCAGCATGACTTTGAACCCCCGAGCACGCAGTTTGGTCAACGTCCAGTGCACGAGTGCAATCTCCATCATCGCGCCTTCATTGCACAAGTACGTGAACTTGGACCCTGCCACCCGCGCAGCTGTCTCCGTGTCCAGCACCTCCAACGGGACAGCCAAGTCGTAGTGGTCCTTGGGTTCGAACGTGAACATGGGCTTCTGGCCATAACTGGCCACGACTCGGGCCTTGTCTTCGGACCCAATCGGCACGTCTGGGTGCGTGTCATTGGGCAGCTTGAGTGCTTCAGCTTCCAAGGCGTGCGACACGCGCGTCAGCTCTTCCTCGACGTCTGCAATCTCACGGTTGAGCTTTTGGCCCTGCAGTCGCCACTGCGTCATCGTCGCGTCCTCTTCTTGTGGCTGCAGCTGCTGCTTGGACTTGAGCTGGCCGAGCTCCTTGGCGTGTGCATTGCGTCGAGCCCGAAGGTGGTTCACGGACTGACGGAGCGACGTCTCCCGCGTGTAAAGCGCGACGACGCGAGCGGGATCGCCGTCACTGGCGCGGTTCTCGCCGTTGCGAATGGCCGAGTGGACGTTGGTGACGAGCTGTTTGAAGTCGAGCCGCGCTCTGACGTGACGATGGCGGTGAGTGGCCACGGGAGGTGCAGCGTCGGTGCGAGTGGAGAGGGAGAGAGAGGAGCGCAGGGGCGGGATGAGGCACGAGATGCAGTGGCGGGCGCGGGTCAAGGCGAGCATGATGCACGGTGGTGGTTCGTGGAGGGGACGGCGGCTACTATTGTAGTAGTAGTAGTAGTACTACTGTTAGTAGGATAGTATTACTATTTCGACGAGTACTACTTCTTCTTCTTCTTCTTCTACTACTGGAGAATGGGAAGATTGTTGTGGGGTGGAAGTTTGATGGTGGAAAGTATACGTGTGGTGTATACAGGAGAGCGATGGCGGCTATTGCGACACACTAGGAGGTGGACGGTGTGGGAGTTCTAGGACTTTGATTAGCGTACCGGTCGCGAGTGGATCTTTGTACCGGCGATTGTTTTAGCCAATCAAAATGTGACTTTACAACCTTGATCTGTTACACCCAATCGGATTCTGATGATATTATCTGAATTTTGATCTGCTTAGACTACTTCGAACTTTTACTCGTATTCACTGTCGTAGAGATTGCAGGAAGTCATGAAGCTACGAAGATCAAGGAAATGGAGGAGATGCAGCGATCAACGATTCTTGAGGAGCACACTGCACTTGTTCGAGGCGTAAATATGCTTAGGTGTATCTTCTAGATTTTCGATTCAGAGATCGCCTGTGAGATTGCGCCGCCATCAAAGCATCGTATGAGAACGTGACCATTATTCGTGTTCCCTTGTTTTTTTGCCTTACAGATGGCTGCATTTATGGTATTGGCGTCAATACTCTCCTAGCCAACACACAGTGCTCTCGTGAATAACAATTGATGATTTTTCCAAGGCTCGCACCGCGTTGACAATATTCGTACGCGTGGACTAAAAATTGCAACAAAACCAAAATTTGTTGATACTTCACGTCTGGATCTGAACTTACACACACCGATTCCACATGCAAATGTCCAGACATCGGAAAGTTTTCTTGTACTTGTGCCGCAAAAACAGACTTACAATTGGTCAGTTTGAACCGCGCCAAAATCTTCTCGATGAAAAAGTGCTGAGAAATTGAAATCCCGCGCCCTGGCTTGTATGATGTCTCCATTATAAGCAAATGCTTTACCGATCGCAAGTCCTCAATTTTAACTTTCTCCGAAGCTTTGCTTCAAACATCTCAATACAGAACTCAGTTTTCAAACAATTAAGCGATCATCCACGTATACGGTACCGTACACCCTGTTGTCACCCACCGTTCGCGCAAATGCATCTGTATTGACCCTTGAAAGACGAATAACGCAATTTCTTCGTTACTTGTCCAACAATTTATAAACAAATACGGGATACTTGTACTGATCCACATACTCTTGTAACAGCTTGGAAACCCGACTCGAAACATCACAAAGTAATCGGGCTGCTCCGTGTAAATCTCGACATCACCGAGAGTTCCATTCATACATGCGGTTAAAAATCAATTTGGAGACAGCAGGATCAAGAACAGAGATAAATGAAAACAAATTGATGCTTTAAATTTACATTAATATTATAATAAAGATAAAGTAGCTCAGTTGGTAAGAGTAATGGCTTGTCACGCTATAAGTCGCGGGTTTAAGTCCCGTTTTTTTCGTTTCAGTTATTTTATTCTATTAAACAATTTTTATAATAATGTTATTAAATTATTTCAGAATGTACATATTATTAATATTAAGTTTATTATTATCAGTTTTATTTTTATTTTATCTTTTTGTAAGTCAAACAAAATGATGATTTTTCGAAATCACCGACTTAAACTTCGCTACTTCCATGCACTTCTCACAGGTTTACTGGATTTTAGAATTGATACAACTGATTTCAGAAATATCAGCATTGGGACTAGCACTTGTTCGCTAACACGACACAAAATTATATAATAAACGTCGAGATTGTTGCATACTGTGGGGATAGACATCCCCACATAGTCTACAATATTCGTCATTAGCGCTTCCAAACTGCTTTCTAGAATAGCATAAAGTCACAGATATATAGTGCTTTAAGGGGCAGCTAATATCTGCCAGTTCCTAGCATTAATTTAGTTTCGATGCTTACGATGTCATCGGAAAGGCCTCGAGCAATAACGGATGTCAATATAATGCTGAAGGCTAACACAGTAGGAGAACGCAGAACACACCAAACACTAAAACGCATCATACATCGTGACAACTGGATTACCTCGTAGATTGATCACCGACAACTAACATTTAACCCTCCGTTTATCAGGTAAAACTGTTATAGGTCTAAGCCCTATTACCCTCTTACTCCTAGAGCTTTAAGAATTCTAGTTCTTTCCGTACCCGTGAAGTCTCACTGCACGTACTATTAGCCAAAAGCTTCCTCAAGTAATGGATCTATGGTTTGATTCAGGAATTCGCCACGGAGGAAGCTGGCGCGGCTCGTGAGATGTGCGACCTTGATACGTTTGTCTAGTACGCTTGCAAGCGTAACAATCGATAAACTTATGCTGATCAGCTTCCACTTTGTAGTGAAGTGTACTTAGAAGATCGATGACGTAAAGTTGACTCTCCAAAGGCGCCCAGACGATCTACTACTGGAGAACGTACTTAGATCTATTGCACACTTTGTCCTTCCCTAACTTGCGTAATCGTCGTTAGGTTTGTTTTAACGCTTATCAATGGACTTCAGTCAATGCTGATGAAGTAGATTGTGTTGGGGATAAGCGTAGATCGATTGGAATAGTTGTAAAGCAGATCACAAATCGTGAGGAGCATACTGCAATTACCAGCCAAGTACGAGATTTAAGAGCTGATTGATGGTACTGGGTCGAAATCGCTTCAGCCGGCTTGAAAATCCCACTACAACACGAAATCTTCACTCTACCGCGATGGTTCTTAGATGTAATCTATTTGAGTTACCCTGATTTGGTATGGATCGCTTAGCCCAATGTGTTGATACTTGATCCACTTGTCTTCTGACCACATGATTCATCTAGTGATGTTACATCTTCAGACCGAATAGTTATCTGCGTCCGTCTGGTCGCATTGTAGTCTGCCTTTAAAAATCTGGTCGCACATGGCCAGGCAAAAAAAGGGAGAGACCGTTCGAAATGCAATTCGACTCTACTAGATGTGGGGACTTGACAAATTCGACCCAGCAGAGATTAAAATTGTTTATTTAGAATTGAATTGATTTCTATTTGTATTAAGCCACCCGGCATACAAATACTATGACTAACCTTAATTGATGAAGTGTCCTGAAAAGTGGTGGACGATAGTTCTAGTGAATTAAAGGCACTTAAGAATAAGAAACCACGGAGAGGTACTACCTTGGGACGAGCATAAATTTGCGAGACCAACGGGAAAACATCTGCCAGATTATCGGTAAAATGGTACTGAAGGAAATCGACCACGGCGCCTCATTAGAAGGTCTGGCCCTTGTGGATAGATCTGAGATTTTTTAAATCGACTGCGGCTTCTCTACGGTGGAAATGTTCCCTAATCGGTAGAATAGGACCTTAATTGAGGAAACTGAGGCCTCTCATCGTTGGACCTCGGCTGTTCAAGTTTAAGCTGCTCCTGTACAGTCCATTCAGAACTTAGGGCATGAGAAAGGGCAGAGTAAAGAGCTCGAAGAATAAGACGAATTTTAGTGTGCTCAATATTTTTGCGATCCACGTAGCACGAATTCGTCGTGCTTAAAGTATTTTAGTAATTTTACCCCCTGATTAAGGGGAAAGATAAAGTCTACCCCCTCGTTAAATGCAGTCTCGAGGTAATACTCAGGTGTGGCTAGAATTCCAGAAAGTAGCTGGCCTATGTGTACATCTCGAGTAGCTCTGTAACGGGGTAGCCCGTTACATGAAATTGACACCAAACGGTTTCAATTGGAATATTGTCTAGCATGAAAATATTCTACCGATATTATCCCCTTTTGGATAATATTCATTCGCTGCTCCAAGATTGGTTGAAATAAGACATATCAACCATAGATTACCACCAATCGCTTCTAGACGCGCGCAATGAGTGGTGAGCAGGTGTCGTCATACGACGGTGTAGTTTAATATAGTAAGATAAAGACTACAGATAAATTGATAGCTTAGCTATTTTAAATCCAGTTCTCTTTTTACCTTACTTGATCGAGTCGTTCAAGTAGTTTAGCTTCCTCTGCACGTACTAGTGTACGTGAAGTTTCGCGGCACCCCAAACAAAGTGTGCCCCGTTACAAGCCCCCCCCAAAGATCCGCTATCTGAAGCTTTCCCCCACCTATTGGTTTGAAAAAACGCAAGCCCGGGTGGTTTACGCCCGTGATATAGACAAAAAACAATCCAGTAGGGCATTCTACTTGAATAATCCGGCTATAAGCCCGCTCTCAACCTAGTCAATAAAATGGACACCGACTGTCCACCGAGCGAAGCACATCCACTCGGTGGCCCCAATGTTGACCTCTGTCGACGTCGGCATCTACATCTTCAAAAAGTCCGAAGAGCGCGAAAACCAGGCGACGGGTTCACAAGATGAAATGAGGGCCGCATGCGGCGTCGGGGTACCCTTTCTGTAACGGGGCACCCTGAAGCTTGTACTGGTGACAGTACAAGCTACTTATTCTGATGACAGAATAAGGCGGTGCCTCGTAACTTCACGTACACTCGTACGTGCAGAGGAAGACGGTAAGAAGAAGCGAGTACTTGGTTAAAGTAAAAAGTAGAACTGTATTTATAATAGTTAATGTCTGCAATAAATCACTATTTATCTTCATCTAACTATGTCTAAATACAAATGTGTAAATCAGTTATCTGCTCACCACTCATTGCGTGCGTCTGTCGTGGCGCGTCTTCGTTGGTTGATATAATGGCCTATATCAACCAATTAGGAACTACTTGTAAGTGCTACAGAATATTTGTCCTTATGACAGTATTCTGAGAATATAACTCTTATAGTTATATTCTATTAACAAAGAGCCTTATTGTATAGAGTACCCTAGAGTACCAAGTGCATAACGTTATTTGAACCGTCGCTAGTTCCCCTTAAAAAGAAATAGGAGATAGAAGAGCTTGAATACTCCATCACCATGCAGAGTGCACTTACGATAAAATATATAAAGCTATTGATAACATGTAAGTAGAAATT